GGCCTTCCATAACAGTTTCCAGCAGCATTGGTTTTGCTTGCATCTTTATATCAGACACAGGGTCGCATCTACTGTCTACTAGTCACTCCTATGACGTCGTCATCACGTGCGCATCAGCACTGAAAAACACTTGCCCTGCTCAAAACTGCCTTGCAACCCCACCTGAATTGAGTGACGACAAGCTTAGCGTTCAAGGATGACAGCACCTCCGCTTCAAGTTTTATGCCGACAATGTTTTGCGTCAGCCTGACACATCCACAGCCGTTCATGTGTTTGTTTTGTTTACATCCTCAAGTTGTTTCCTTCGCCGCAAGTGCGTATAGCTTCAGACCTTTGCGCACAATCTTATAGCTACTCTGGTTACGTGCGTGGTCCACACTTCGCTGGAGCGCAGTAGTGCTGGCGCTGGCTGCAGAGTTTCTCCTAACAAGGCCCCCAAAGCACATCTTGGCCTCGACTAAGGAGCAGTGTGAAACTGTTCTTTAGAACTGCGCGCGATATTGGCCTTTTTTTAATACGATATGCATGAAAATGCAAAGAAATAAGCTTGCATGCATATATTGGGATGCCAACCTATGCGGTGTAAGGTGGCTCATGAAAAGAGGTGACGCTAAATGAAATAACAAAGTTCATTGGACATCTCATTTATACAGAGATTATTCACATCACGGGTATCCATCTACCTCTATTGGAACACCAGGAGACTCTTGCAACAAAGATTTACTGAGAAAAATTGTACAAGTACACATGTGTCTCACAAAAAACTCTGCAATGATTCACCACATTGCACGTGCAACTAAGCAGCACCTCGGTTCAGATTTTTTTTGTCTATGTAAAGAGAAACATTTTGTACAACATTTAATATTTTTTATACTGTTCCTGGGTCATTTATCTATAAAATGTATATTCTGAACTTTCTTTGTTTTGAATATTTTTGCATATATAGTGTTTTGTAACCAAAAATTCTACACTTCTCACTTTTTTATTCCTTCTAAAGTACTTTTGTTGCTCTACAACACACATTTTTTTTTTTTTGAAAGAGCATTTTGTTGTGCAATGTTTGGAATGCTGTAATGCGTGCTGAAGTACTTTTCCAACTGGCAAAAATGATCTTCTCGAGACATATGAAAAACAACCATTTTTGCGCGGTAATGAAAGAGTTAAAAGGTATTAAAAAGCTTAGAAAGGTTAATACCACAGTGTTAGCAATCAAACACTTGGGGTCGATTCAGTCCCTTCTTAAGGAGGTGACTGTACTGGTCATGGAAGCGAGACTACGACTACACCTTTACCTTTCTGTCATGCTTCGGAGGCTGTGAATGTAATCGGTGGCACTGTTTTCAGCGAGAGATGTTTACAGGTGCGTTCTGATAGTGCCGAAATTCAGGTGAGAGCCTCCTTCACGGATTCCTTCGGTTCCGTTCTCTGGCTTTACCATTTCTGTCACAAAAGTGCCATCAAAGTCTTTCTTGTGGTTATGCCTCTCCCAATTAACACCTTGATAATTGCAGCCTAGCTTCTCTGACATTCAAAACGACCTAGAGAAAGTACAAAGGGAGCATGTCACACCTGCAATTTCATTTCTTCGGCACCATACCAACAATCTTTAGCCAAACGTGTATCCTCGCACATAAACTGACAACACGGGGTCGAGCCTCTAAATCCCCAAAGCGATGGTTAGAGATTCAGTATTCAACCCGTGAAGTCCTACACGGCTAATGGGACCAACTTTTGAAGTGGGGCTGTGTGCTCATCATTTTGATGCTGCCCCATGTTCCACAATTGGCAGAAACCAGGTTAGGAGAGGGTAAAGGGGGGTGTACCGCAACTTTCTTATTTACAGAGACCGACAACTGTCCGCTACATGAAATGAGACCACTCCACTGTCGGAAAGATAGTTTGTCGCATTGACCCACACCAATCTTTTTTTTTTTCGTAAGAGGAATATTTATGTTTTTATTTATTCATTGCAAGTCATGCAAAAATGACATTTGGCAGCTCTGGCAGCAAAAACGTGAACAATCCGATGCACCCGGCCACATGACGACTAATTGCTGTATGCAGTCGACAATTTTCTCAGTATTTCATATTGTTTATTTTATATAACAAAACATTAATCCATAAATATGTACATAAAGGCCTGTGCTAGTAGTATGCATTAAAGCGGTGCTGCCTTTGTATAATGTAACCATCCCATGCTCGTCAGCATGTCTTGAGCAACTTTTCCTAGTGCTTATGCAACTGAGCCCCCAATTGCAAAGCCACTAAAGTTTTTAGCGACATAGTTTCGCTCCCAACACTTCGTCTCACAAATGATGGGGCTGCTACTCGGCGTGGTCGTGCATATGTGTAGTGACATTTTCGATGACATGGCTTGGCTTCCGTATTAAGGGAGTAACGATGCCAGGGGCAAGCCACCCGTGGCACAGGCAGGCAACCTAAGATACAGGTGCACGCAATGCAGTACAAATATAAGGAAGGCATACGCCACACCATCCCATAGTAAGAGCATGTTATTTTGAAAAAAATGTTGTAAGGCTCAAAATAAAGGTGGTTAAGTTACACGAACTTTTATGAAAGCAGAAAACTAGCTTTCACAAATTAAGAAAAGGACTGGCGTCGTCACTATCTTGCTAGATGAAATGTACATCTCTTCTCACAGCATTTAAGATTGGAAAATACAGCTTGTAAATTAAGCTACGTGCTTATTGGATTAACTGCTGTTGATACAAACACCTAGAAAGATGAGCTTTCTGTCGCACCGCAAGAAAAAAATGGGTCGAGAAAAATCGGTTGTTGGTTCTTTAAATTCATCGCACAGGCAAGTGCTGCGCTTCTTCAACGAGGTATGAACAAGGGAAGCACTTGTATAAAGTTTTATTTCTTAAGCCAGCTTGTCTTGACGATCTCCCCGGCATGACGACGACTCGTGTTCACAGTGGCCACGCAGCCCCATTATTTACAAAGGCTTAGAGCAGCAAAGCTTGCCTACATCTGAAGAGTGATAACCCATAATTTGCTTTAATTCTTATTTGCTAAAATTATGAAAACAATCAGCACAAATGAATATTACCATTGTGAACACATTTTAACAGTATTTATGCTGTGAAGGGGTTCTTGTGATATTGGTAACTACTAACAATAAAAGAGGCAGGATTTGCCTTCCGCCTATACTTTGAGAGACCCCCCCTTCCCCAGAATTGAGTGGCTGGATGCGTACCTGTCCCAGACTGGACTACTACGCACTAGAGTTACGACTACGCATTAGAAGTTTTGCCCCTGTAACTTTCCATTTATTTCTAAGAAAAGTAGTCCACATGCATTGTAGTAGTACATGCACAGAGGTGCCATGCACCTTGTGGTGCTGGCTTGCCCCTGTAACTTTCCATTTATTTCTAAGAAAAGTAGTCCACATGCATTGTAGTAGTACATGCACAGAGGTGCCATGCACCTTGTGGTGCTGGCTTGCACAAGTCACTGTTAAGGCACTGTCAGCATCGAGAGGCTGTCACACAAGGTAATACAATGCGAAATGTGGGAAAGCATACTAAGGCACTACGAAAGTGAAAATGACAGCGGACTCTGCTGCACCACTCAAAACAATGTTCCTGTTAAGGATAAGAGACAAATCTTCCTGCTGAAGATAAGCCTGCACATATAGGACAGTCACGTTATCTCCAGCGTATGCTTGCCACATTAGAGTGCGAAAGTAAAGCAGTGGGTGTAAACCTTCAATTTGGTTCCATACTGAGCTCAGCGTTATTCGTTTAACTCAGCGTTTCCACAAACTGTACAGCGCTCGCTCAGGGCTGGGTAGGACTGAAGTCCCTCCATGTGTCTACTGCCGGCTAGGTGAAGTTGCCCCCCTCTCGCTTTACACCAGTCTGCTGGCCAACTTAAAATGCACTGCCGGCACTATGTTTCTGCCTGCTTCTCCGGTACATGCACCTGCGCCACGGAGGACAGAATGCTCACACCGCCTCATTCATGCTGTCCCACCGCTCAGCTGTCGCCCGCATCGGGCTGCAGCGAGGTGGCATTCCTCGCGAGGCAGAAACACCGAGCGAAAATTCCCTCTGCGGCAGTTTAGAACGAAACTTAAGGCGACACTTGTGGAATGAAGAAAATACACTTACACCTCATCATAACAAAGTTGCATCTCGGACAAAAATAAGTTCGTTATATCTGTATATTCGTTATAAAGGTATATTTCTAGCAATATATCTAGTGCAAGACTTACTGAATTCGTTCGTTATAACCGATATTTCACTATATCCAGGTTCGTTATATCAAGGCTTGAGTGTATTTGCATTCTCGCATGTGCACATGCATTTGTAGAAACAAAGCAGAGGAAAAAAATAGGAAGGTGGTGGCTCAATAACTTCCTTCCGGAAGCTCCGGAACTAGGGGGTGGCGGAACAACAGCTGGTGCTACTCAAAGGGGCCCCTGAAACACTTTCTTGAGTAATCATCGATTTCACTGAAAAAAAGAGTATAGCTTCGCAAATTCAATGCCGCAAAAAATTTAAGAATCTGTCCAGTACGAAGCCAGTTACAAGTATTTGACACGCGCTGCAATCGCATTCTCTCTTCTCTCGTCCCGACGAAAGCGCTGGCAGCTAAGCAGGGAGGAATGGGAGGGTCAAACAAAAAAACGTCATGCGTGCCTTGTGACCTTGAGCATTTTTTTTTTCTTTGAATACGTGGCCTTTTTCAGTGCTATCACACACGCACGCGTGGACAAGTGACGGCCTCTCGCGGCGATCTCTGTAACAACCGAGCGCATCATGTTCAAATCAGCGAATGGCTGATAGATGGACTTACTACGAGTGATTTTTGGGCTTATTACGTGACTTGTCGGGAGAAAAGAAAGCAATTTTTAGCTGACTTTGATCATTTATTGTGAATTCCAGGCCGCATGCTGCGCTATAATATTTGACTCGTGTGTTGTCGGGAGCCTCTACAACCGATCGGCAGCATTTTCATTTTCCCACTATGCTCATAAAGTGTTTCAGGGCCTTTTTAGGAAAGCGGCAGCAGACGTGATGGAGGGGCTTTGTGCAGCACCTGCGTCTTGGCTCCGAGACCCAAAAGGGTAACTGTGGATGAGAAGAGTGAGGTCCGAAAGTTCGTTGAGTTTTTGATTTCTTTTCTATGCAATGTATGATTACATTAAATTAATGAAATGCTATGATACATTGCCTGATACTGATACATTGATACTGATACATTGAACTAGCAAATGGTATGCCAGGTGTGACCGGTACATCCCCTTTCCTTTTTCTATGGAGCTCAGTCTTCCATTTGTGATAGGCCTCACATTCGCAGATGGAAAGTTGAACTTCGTTATAATGATTAGCATGCAAAACTTGAGTTAACCTGTTATATCCGATTATTCGCTGTACCATTCCGACAAGTTGAAAGGTCTTGCTCCAGCGAGAATCCTAGGTACGAAAATCAGTTACTAAATGCCTCAAACCAAGTATTAACAGGTGATTTTTTTACTGTCTCCTTACGACATTTAAAACTAAATAGGCTGAAATACAATAAGGCAGTACCAAAACAGGCCTGCGATCACTTATGTAAAAAAGGGTGTGACCACACATTTAACCAATGCTTATTGTCACAATAATACTTCTAAAAAATTGTGGTCGCGAATAGTTGGTCAGTATTTATTTTGCTTTGTATGCTAGTTCTCAACTTTAGAACTTGTGCAAACCAAATATTTTTTCATTGCAACCAATATTGTGATGGCATTTGTGTTTTTGTTTTTGTTATATACAAATAATAAATGCCACTAAAGTGAAGTGTAGTCAACCAAAGTTCATGCCGGGTTTGCTATAAATAACATATTTACTATATCGGTGTTTGCTACAACGAAGTTCAATTGTATTTCACACGTGTATTAGCTTGCTCGTGCAATGTATTTGGCACTCCTCTTTATAAAAATGCTAATTCAACCTTTTTCAGTCTGTTTTTAGGCACTACCAATAACGCAGCACGGCCACAGCAGCTTGTGGTTGAGTACTGCTCGAAAAGTTTTTTTTTGCAGCTGATTCATGTGCCCTCACTGCGTTATGTGCCATCTCTAAATAAGCAAACCTCTTTTACTTCATCTTTGATTTCTTTGGTTTCGGACCGCAACGGATGGAAGGTGCGTAAAGGTTTTGAACCGCAAAGAGTTAATAACTTGTTGGCAGAAGTGATACATGATCACACAAAAATGCGCGGGGGTGCAACAATATTTCGCAGCAAATTTTCACAAAGTGTCTTCGAAGTCCTCCAGATCATCACACTGAGTCCACCTGGACACCGTGGAAGAGCTCAACTCTGCTTGTGTGGCTTTAGAGATGGCCTCACAGCATGTGGTCTTGTCAGCAACGTCTATACTGATGAAGCGCTCCGCAGATGCCTCAGCCTCTAATCCTTGTCCGACTGTCGGAGGTCTTGCATCGCATGACCTGTCATTACTGCAATCAAAGGAATGCTTCTTCTGCACCTAGGCACAGGGAGAGGATAAGCGTTAGAGAACATGTATCACAAGAATCTCAACACAAGTTGTCAGCAAGGATAAAATACACCCATTTAAAGGTTCATAAAGCATGTTTGATATAGTGCGGATATGACGAAGTAAAACAGAATAGACATTAGAGAGTTTTCGAATAGGGGCCCTAAAAAGTTGGGGCCCTAAAGCCCTTTGCGTATGGACGCTTTGGGTCAAGCAGGAGCAATGAGTTTTTGAATGGGGTCTGCGGCACTTTGTACACTCGCCCTATTCTATGTCACTCTAGTCTTGGCCGAGAGCCGTCACTTCAGTGGGTGCCGTCACGTTTGTCTGACCCAAACACGGTTTGGGTTTGGCGCATGCGCAGTGGCCTTGACGCTATTTGTTTGGGACCCCAAACTTTTAAAACCCCTATTCGAAAACTTCCTGTTAATAAGCACTGACTCGCAACTGAAAACATTTGTCTGAAGAATGTGTGAAGGTGCATTGACATTGCAGAGAAGTGTTAGAATGGTTAAGAAAAAAAAACTGCCATCACCTAACAACGTACATGCTGAGCAGGAAAACCAACATACATAACTCCTCGTCTGTGACAAGTAGTTATGTATGTACATAACTACATAACTCCTTGTCTGTGAGAGACAAAGATGTTTGATCTTTCACCCAATCCGTTAAGTGAGAAGAAAATAAATATTTTTGCATTTTGCTTGCTCTAAGTAAAAACCCTGCTGTCAAGAACTCGACAAAGAGTATATAGTGGCACCAGCAAATTCAATAATTATGCTTTTAATGCCACCGCCTTCAAAAAAACACATTCATTTTCGATATTGGCCTTAAGGACATGGTGTGGCGCCACCTACGTTGTGACGTCACTCATAGGATGCCGGGTTGTGGGCCGGAGTGCTGGGAACACTCGTCAACTGTTAAAGAAGCTGACGATTTTAATCCTTCCTAATATTCTCAAAACCAGCTGTCTTCTTTCAGTGAGATTGACACTTTTGCTATTGTGAAATCAAAATTTTGCAATATGGGAACAATCATATTCCTCTTTAGTTTCCCTTAAGGTAAATTCAATGAAATCGAATGTACTTACTTCACCTCCTACACTTTGTTGCACCTGGTTCAAGTGAACGCGCATGTGCCGCGCTATCATTGAACTGTCCAAAAACGCACTCGGGCAAATGGAGCACCTGTACACCGCAGTGGCCAGGTGGCTGCGAGCCTGTGAGTCACATTTCTCGCTCGAGCCCAGGTATTTGTCAACCAAGTGCGTCCTGGCGCGACACTGACGGCTGTGGTTGCTAATCTCCGACTTCATCATGAACGTACTGTCACAGCAGTTGCACACAAACGGCCGGAAGGGCACATGGTAGTGCTGAATGTGACGCCGTATGCTCCAGTACTTGCCAAATGCATTTCCACACAGCGGGCACTTTACCGCATCAATCTTGACGTGAGCGGCGAGGTGGTCCCGCACCACACCCCAATTCGTGCACGGCTTCGAACACAGCCCGCACCGGGAGGGCTTGGGCCAGGGGCACGCCATAACATGCGAGAACAGGGCATCCACCTCCCCGAAACTGCGCGAGCAAACGCCGCAGCCGTATGGCCCAACCACGAAACACACGTTTTCAGAGGGAGGGATGTCTTTCTTTACGTTGCACGATTTGTTGGCGTCCATCTTGATTCGGCGGTCACCTTCCGTGGCATCATTGACTTTTGCGTGTTCCTGTACTGCACAGCTGGCTCCTGTTGAACTTCTCGGCACTAAAAACACACCTGAAACAAAACGAAAAGTTCAGTGCACTATACTGTGACAATGGTTAGAAACTTGAAGCCTCAGCTAGCACACACATAGAAGCAGCATAGTTACGTACATTTAATACCTGGATGCAACACTATTACGGAATAGACATTCACTTATTCAAATTAAGTCTAGAACTAGATGTAACTATACTTAGCACACCAAGCCTAGTTTGCCACAAGAATGGATAATTGTCATGAGTAAGAGCCTTGCAGAAGATGAAGACAAAGAGGTGCAGGCTGCTTTTGAAACAGTGCGAGCCCGAGCACTATCACGTGAAGCATGAGGTGCGTGATCCGAGCTGTGATCGGGCTGCGAGCAACAGCGGGCTAGTGTTGTCGACGTGGGCTTGCAAATAGAAGGTCGTCCCACCAGCTACTGCACTGGCGACGGGAGCGGCGGGACATTGACTCAGCAGCCTGTGATGCGCCGGTCAAGAGAGGACGGAGACAACGACCGGGTTCGTGTGCAGCCTCGGAATGCAGCAACGGCGCACAGCCGTCGCTGCATTCCTGGCATAAGTCCCCTTCGAAGCAAGCCACGAAAGACAGTCCCCGGTGGGCCAAATCAGTTCTTAACACTGGGCACCCGCAAACACCACTAGGCCTCACCTCAGAGGCTTCCGCCACGTAGCAAAGACATCAAGCGAGACGAAGGACAATTTTGGCATCAGCAGGAACGGCAACGTTTGTCATGAACGTCGAGAACGCCGACAGGTACCGAACACGACCAATCAGGACATTATCAGGAAGATTATCAGTGGTGTCAAGTGAGATCGGCCCAAATCATGAGTGGAACTACCAAGCTAGAGATTCCAGACATTGACAAGAACGGCTTAGTTCGTAGTACGGTTGGTGTGTAAGCTTAGTGGAGCTTAGTTTGAATTTCAAAGTTATTCATATTGGCTTTGTATACTTGTATATTGAGGGTGTGTCGTGCGTGTGTTCAGTAAATACGCTGTGTTGTCAACAGAGACTTGTCTTCGTTCATCATCTGTGGTCATGCGAATTTGAGACAATTATGTAAACTAAAAAACAGGATATGCCAACATCTGCAATTTTTATGAGATGTATACAGGCTATGCTGACAGCAACTGCCGGACTGACTGCGCAGGCTCTTTCGTAGAGTTCTTGCATTGTGACATAAGTTAAAAAACACCTTTGGAAAAAATATAATTCTCTATTCTCAATGCCTATGCATCTGAGATATCTGGAAACATTCTGAAAAGTTCATTGCATGCATAACTCTTTCTGAACAATCTACAGTTCTACAAAGCTCCCTCTTTTAAGATTCAAACCCCAATAATGCCATCGTTAAAATCAATAGTGTACTATTTCAAAAAGAAAATTCTTCAATAAAATGGCAAGAGTTGTTCTATCTGTACTCAAACTTCTCGATATTTACTAGTTCATAGATGCGAGGAGCTGGTTTTGAGAGCTTGAAATTTCAGATCATACCACATTCAAGATTCATTGACTCAGTTGCCTACAAAACACCTGCGTAGCAGTATCGACCACTACTCTATCAAGCGTAGGACGTCATGCCAGTCGAGGAGCAATTTGTGAATACGGGGGTAAATCAAGAGTGAGGGAGCTGCCGCTTTTCAGAGACTTGGAGGCATATATTTCATTCCCATATCTCTTATGATTAGGGCATTCTACCTCAGAGATCACACTGGTTCTTGAAACTGAGCTGCAAAAGCAGTGTATGCAAGTTTTTTGGACCAATTCAATTTTAAAGCTCCACGGGAGCTAGACGACTCAGATTCACGACGAATTGCTGAGCGTGCTGAAAGCCAGAAAGTCGCCAATTTCACCACCGTAGCATCCAAGCACGTACAGAACCACTACTTCCGAAGAACCGGCCCACGCCTTTAGAACTTCCATCAGCGTACACTAATAATGAAGCAAACGACATGACAGTTACAGCAACTCAACCCTTATATTGCATACCTGCAAGGTGCAGTTATTCGAGCACTTTTTGCAGTGAAATTTCGCCATGGAGTTAATCCCGTTTATGGTGGTGCTATTTTTAAATTTAACGTTTGAATTTTAACGAAGTGCATTATCCTCAATCAACGGTAGAAGGTATACTATATATTCACACGTGTTATCTAAGAAAACCATACAGGGATTAATGATATGGTCCATTCGCGCAATAGTTCGATAAAATGCCCTAAATGGCACAACGTATCTTCCACATGCCCGTATGACCAGAGTTATGACTCTTTGACGACAGTGACAATACCGAAACGCAAAAGCATGTACCTTTGCTTAGAATTCGGACTTCTGGGGTCAAGGAGGGCTCGTGGTGGCCTTCCAACTCGTCGGTTCCCATCCTTCTACAGATATTTGGAGTGGTTATCTTGACCTGTGTGGACTTGGACAGGCCCATCTCACTCAATGTAGACCGCCCATGGTACGTAGCAGCATTGTGTTGCATAACTGCGGCTGGAACTGCAACCTAGAGTCGGAGAGCATGACAAAGCGTGCAGCGATGTATTAAACTGTAAAGGCTAGTTCCACAGGTTCAACAAAAAAGAAATATTCATGTACCCGTTTTTGTGAATTGAAAGACAGCAGCTTCCATCATCTCCAGTCAAAATAGGCCGATTGGGCAAGTTCGTGATTCATGATTGCTTGAAATATGAGCGCGTAACGTAGACAAGGACACTGTTAGTATCTTAGCTGTCCTTGCCTACATTACACACTCTTATTCCATATATCCACACAGATATTCCTCGGATTCACTGTGTTAAACGGAACACACACAAAAAAAGCAAAGCCGCAGCTGTAAAGAAAAAGAAAGCCACTCTCTTGTTTGACACCAGCTACAAATGCCCAATTCTAATTAACAAGCCAGGATATTTATCTCTAATGCAGTCAACACAAGCGTTTTACACTGAGGTAGTCCAATCTTTGCAACGGCTACCATTTCGAATAAGATTCTCCTTTGACAGATGGATCGCTGTCCTTTCTGATTGATTTGTGGGGTTTAACGTCCCAAAACCACCATATGATTATGAGAGACGCCGTAGTGGAGGGCTCCGGAAATTTCAACCACTTGGGGTTCTTTAACGTGCACCCAAATCTGAGCACACGGGCCTACAACATTTTCGCCTCCATCGGAAATGCAGCCGCCGCAGCCGGGATTTGAACGCGCGACCTGCGGGTCAGCAGCAGAGTACCTTAGCCACTAGACCACCACGGCGGGGCTCGCTGTCCTTTCTCTGCTCCAGCACAAATTGAGTGAATGTGCCCATTGCTTCAATCCAGTGAAAAGCCTTTTCATTTTTCTGCAAAATTGTCTCACAAGAGCAAAGCCTGCTTTGGGGGAACCTAAGCAACCAGCAGAGGCAACCTGTAGCGTGACCTCCAATCAGAGACAGATGTTGTGACACTAATATTAAAGACACCAAAGAGAACAATTTTTCTCGCATTAGTAAATCACAATTTCACAATATGAAAAGGGCAATCTTCTGGCAAGAGGATGATTGGTAAGCGAGAAAATGGGCAGAAAAAAAATACAGGTGGCAGCAGTACATCGATGTTCTCGCACCAGTTCACTGTGACATCACAGAACGTGACGGCGTTAGCTTGAGACTACATTATCGCTCATAAATAAAACCGCTTCAGATTCAAAGGGACATGCAGTCTTAGCAAAGCAGGTTTAAAAACATCTCATAAATCCAATGAGGCCGAAATTCGCAAGATGTCTTTGAAACTCATGACATCAGGCCGATGTTGACGTGCTGAAGCACAATATTCCAACATGAAAGTTTGACCTTAATTCCCTTTTTTAAGGTGTGCTACCAACATGGGCATCTGGAGTAAGGTGCAAGGGATGGGGGAAGATGCTGCCCTTCCCCCCTCCCTTTAAATTTTTTATATTTATCTAGCAATAAACAACACAGCTTTATTAGCACACTCATGACACTTATATCCATGTAAAATGTCCTTCGGGATTGCTGGCTGGCGAACTTTGCACGTAGTACGGTCATACGCGAAAATTTATGCCTCATTCTGTTTGCTGATGCACCCCCCCCGGGAAAAAATTCTGCTACAAACAAGCCCGCATCGCTTGTGAAAGAAAGGCCAAATGGTCTAAATAAATTACCCCAGCTCCACCTAGGGTGAAATCCGCCGAATGACAGGAGGAGGAGCTGCACTTCAACTCTTGCGTTTTCAATCTTTGGCGCTCGCGGTTTCGCTCCGCTTCTCGCCGGAACAAGTCCAGGTTCGCAGCCATCCAAGCCAGCTTCGCTTGCGCTGATTTCTCGCAAAGGTCGGGGTTTCTTTCCACAAATCCGTTGAGCTTCGACTTCCTTCTTCCGAACAACCGGGTTAGCTTGCCTTCGCCGTCGTTTGTGTACCGCTTTCCCTGCATCTCGGCTCGAGATCGGCTCGCTTGCGCTGCCGCTCGGCCTCCGTAACTTTCTTCCTTAGCTCGGGAATCGCTTGCCTTCGCCGTCGCTGAGCTTCCGCTGCTTTCTTGCGCAGGTCGGCCTTAGCTCGCCTCCGCTGTCGCTCAGACCTCGGCTGCTTTCGCCCGTAGCTCCGGGTGAGCCTCCCGTCGACGACGCTGCCGTTCCCGTGCGAGCGCGCGTTTGCGCTCTTGTCGAGCGTCGTCAATCACGGGTAGTATTCGCGTAACCCGACCAATACGAACTCGAAGTGCTTCCATTTTCAAGGACGTGTCCCTTATTTACAGTAGAGACTTTTCGAACTTAGCGGCCAGTTACGACGTAGCGGGCCCCCAAAGCGCTCACGTGTGCTGCCCCTACCTTTGGATCACCGTGCTCCGTGCTTTATGGACCAATAACCAAGGTTGCAACAACAGTTGCTTTGGATCACGCCTCCATGCGCCTGAGGCTGTCAGATGATGATGATAATACAGCGCCTGGCCCATGCCACACCCTTCGGATGATGGATGGATTGCATGCTATGAGCGTTCCTTTTATAACAGGACTGCTAAAAAAAGAAAAAAAAGCTTTTTTTTTGCTTCAATACTGCCTGATGCAACTTCTTGCACCTTGCTTTCATTTTCTTTTTATGTTCATTTTTGCTTTTTTTTTTACTTCTAGAGGTCAGTGCTTGTAGGTGTTCGGTGGCCCGCCTCAATAGAACAGTGGCTACGAGCTCGGCTGCTGACTCGATGGACGCGGGTTCGATTCCGGCCGCGGTAGTCGCATTTTATAATTGTCGCATTTGGCACCTTAGGGCTTGCCCCAGTGTTGTCGGTATGCTTGACCTCCATCTGTAGCTGTACACCACCATGTAACCACTGTGTATTTGTACATGTCTAATCGTGCATTTGAGCAATGTACTCAAAATACCTCGATACATATGGTAGGTGTTCTGTGGTGGCGCCCTCTACACTTTGTTATGCATCATATTGTCTAGATCACCAGCAACTGGAATTTTTGCACAATCTTCGTTGGTGTACATACGCCATTCCCAGCGTCATTGGCATTTCCATGGCTGTTTTGCCCTTTGTCCTTCCTCGTAGGTGTGCTGCTTTCAGGGAGTCCCAACTGTATGTGGACCACAGCAACTGCGGAACACAAATTGAATCTACTACTTGGCAGCTGCTTCAGTGTGTACACCCTATGCCACCTCAGGGACCTGGAGGAATCTAGTCATACAGGATTAGAACATAAGACTTTTCTCTTGATAGACACAAAAATATGGGGAACGCTACTTGCAATAAGTTTCACCGTGAAACGTTGCTGTGAACAGCTGAGTTAGCGTTACACCCAATGTTCATTATAAACATGCAACTCTCATGCTGTCACACTGGTAGGTCAATTCCACTACGCTTTGCAATACGGAATAACTTATTACATCTGATAATTATTCATAACGAGGTTTGATTCACACTTATTCGAGCAGCCCCCTCTGTGCTACAGCAGGTTCGCCTGCGGTACAGAAATTGGTAAAAAATACAGATACTGGTAAAATAAGAATGGACAGAAAACGACAAAAAAAAAGGAGTACGAGAAGGGGCACGCCAGTGTCTTTTCTACGCTCGTCCCACTTCAGTCCACCACTGGAGGAGGAGGAGAGGTTGAGAAAAGGAAAAGGCACAGTTTCTACAGCCCTTGTTGGCAGTACGGCCAGGTATTCTCTGGTACGACTCAGCCATGGGCTCACCATTCCTTCATCCATGCGGCTCAGCGCACTTGTCCTTACCACTCTCCACCACGGTGTTCGTCGGGCGAGGAGAAACCGCTCCACGGGTGTTCTGGGGCAATCGCGCACCATTAAGACACCAATAAAACATTCTTCGTGCCTGTGTAAAATCAAGGACACCAACAAAGCACCCTTGATTGATTGATCGATATGCAGGGTTCAACGTCCCGAAACCACCATATGATTATGAGAGACGCCGTAGTGGAGGGCTCCGCAAGTTTTGACCACCTGGGGTTCTATAACGTGCACCCAAATCTGAGCACACGGGAGCATTTCCGCTTAACAAAGCATCCTCTGTGGTTGCTCCCTCTTTTATACCCCAACGCACTGTTGGATGTCCTGAGCTGCGAGGAAGAGGCTGCAGTGTCTGAATTGGTCAATAAAATTTTGCCAAGGACTAGAGGAGAGAAAAGGTGTGTGGCATATGTTGCGACAGCCTTATCTGCACATAGCAAGATGTGGTGGGTGTGGCTGCCCTGGAGCTACTCTAGGCCAAGCCTGTAAAGATGCAGTAGCTTCCCACGAACTGGCCCCATACTATTAGTACTTCAATTAAAAAATCATTCTTCATAGTAACGTCATTCGATTCGCTTTATTATTTAGTGCTTCATACAAAAGCTTAGCCATCCTAACTTGCTGAGGTGACGAGAGACACTAGACGAGAGACACTACCCCATGTTTTTCCTATTCCTTTCTAAGAATCGCATCTCCCCAACCTCCTAGCTTCCCCAGCAATAGGGAATGGCAGCTTAATGACTTTGCACGACGTAAGGGCAAGACACTGGATCGCACACATCACCGACATCTTTGAGCCAGAGAAAGGTTGTGGCAACAGAAAACACTTTTTTAGGAACCTGTGGGATTGTTGCCATCTACGGCACCTCAGCTCTCTGTTCATCAGACAGTGTTCTTCATATATGTCACCATTTTTCCCGGTGCTCCCACTGCAGCTTGTCACTGGGCACGAAGTTTCTCCTGTGAGAATTCAAAAGTCAGAGTTCTTGACAAGATGCAGAGATTAGGCTGCCACAGTCACTAGAACGAAGTACCATGTCGTTGCCACTTTTTTGTGTGTGTGCGAGACCTCTAGTAGCCACTTTTATCATACCATACGCAACAAGCAGATATTTTTATACTTACCGTACGAAATTGCCGTTGCCGCCGAAACTTGCTAAAACATTCTAGTTTTACGCATGTTCTCACCTTTCACTCCTTTTTTACTTTGTTATTTTGCTGAAGAGCTTCCACGGTACACAAATAAGTAGCAAATTCAGTTTTATTGAACTATAGCGCTAATTAATGCTGTAGGTTTGATGTTGCGCTGCATGTAAAAAACAGTGCCTCTACAGTGTAGGAGTGGAAAAAAAGGTGTTGTACAATGTTTAGTTAGGACAAAGACTTCCCTTCTCAAATTGGGCGGGAAACACTGGTGTGCATTGGCAAAGTACAGGTGGCTGGCAACTGTTTCGACAGTCCTGGGAGCAATGTTCCGATAAGCGAGGTGCTACTCGAGTCATATGAATCTGGAGAGTAGTACTGTGGTTGCCAATGTACCTGTTCCAACTACGCTAGGCGAGCGATAGACCACGTACAAATATTTAGCTGGCATTTAGAACTTTACATGTAGTATCATCTTTATGGAATTTTCTTTAAGCTAACAAAGACTTGAAAGAGGTAGCAGATGTACGTAATCAGCCAAGTATATCCTGCGATACGTCGTCATCAACCGGCTGAGAGCATTGACGACAGTACCTCCACCACCATTTTAAGTGCAGATTTGTGCTCGCCATTATCACCCTGCCCATGTCCTATCATTTGTGGAAACCTGGTGACCGCGTGAAGAGAGAGAAAAAGGGGTGTACCCCAACTCGCTTATTTAAAGGGACCGTCAACTGCCCGAAACATAAACCCATATGACTCCACTGATGGAAATATTGCTTGTCGCTTTGACTATAACCAACCCCTTTTTTTTTGCAAGGTAGACTTATATTTTTATTTATTCATTCAAGGTCACCGAAAGTGACCTTTTCGCCTTCGGCAGCAACAACATGAAAAATCCGATGAACCCAGTCTGTGACCGTTGATTGCTGTATGCGGTCAACAATTTTTTTTGTCAGTATGTATTAAATATTGTTTGCTTTATATTACAAGACATTACTCCATAAACATGTACATATAGGCTTATGATAATAGTATAAAATATAGTGGTGCTGTCATTGCATGACATAACTCCATATTCATCAGTGTGCCTTGAGCACCTTTTCACTGGGCTCATGCACACAGTTTCCAGGCCGCTAAGATTTTGAGCAATATAGTTTTGCTACCTACAATTCATCTCAGAAATGATGCGTGCTGCTACTCGAAGCAGCCGTGCATATGTGTAGTGACGTTTTCGATGACTTGGCTAGGCTCGTGAATAGAGAGTGAACCAACGCCGGGACAAGCCACACACGTCACAGGCACCCTCAAATGCAGGCTCACACAATGCGGTACAAATATAAGGAAGCCGCAGGCCACATTATCTCATTGTAACAGCTTGTTATTTTGAAAAATAGTTGAAAAGCTCAGAATAAAGGTGGTTAAGCATAGTTACAGGAAGAAAGATGAATGATGACAACTTTCACAAACTGCAAGAAGAGATGGTGCCTGCTGTGTTGGGGGCTGGCTGATCCCGACGAAGCAGAAGACGGCCGACGGAGACGTACGCGGCCGCCGGGGACGCCGACCAGCCCGAACACGCGGGTTGGCGCGAAGCGCCGAAAGAAAGAACAACAACCGCACTCCACGGTTACCCAGCACACACTGATTTTATTTTACAGTCGCCTTGAAACCCTGGATGCCAGAGCGGCGCCCCCTGGCATCCTCACATGTCATTACGAAACCGAAACCCAGAACACAACAACCATCCCCTCCTCGAAAAAAGTTCACCTATACACTGTTTTATTTATACATGATCGATACAAAAGTATATACAAGGTATGTACGTTAGAACACATGAAAATTCGGAGCACGGCACACCGAACTCACACACTACGAGTCCTGAAAATGCACTGACCGCAAAAAAATGCGCACAACTGTTCGGAACAAGAGTTCTACATCACATAGTCTTCGAACCGACGCGGCTTCTGCCGCTTCCGCTTAGGGCGGGCCCTATTGTGTGTAGAATCAGGTGTCTCTGCACCTTGGTCACTTGTGCTCTGATGTGACACATCAAGAGCAGTGAAATTGTGAAGGCTCTGAACGAGCGTTAAAATTCGCGGTCTCATCAGAGCTTGCAGCATGAACTTCGGAAGAATTTTGCGGACCGGAGTCCGGTTCAACGGTCTCAGCCGAATTTGAAGGTTCGAAGTGAACCGTAAGACTTGGTGTACATGAACCAGTGACACCGACTGGTACCTCCCCCCCTTGAAGAAATGCCTGTACATGGAGGCCACATGTAATAATCTGATGGATAGTTGAAAGGCGCGGACGGAACATGATGGGGAAGACTTTTAGGTGTTGAAGGCGAATCCGTATGAAAAATAACAAGGCGCGAAGCATTCCAGGATATTACAGTAAAACTCAACCTTCTACCCACTCCCTCTGTTCCCTTGAGCAGAGCTCTCCCAGCCTGCGTAGCGGCTGTTGCTACAGAAGGGAGTGGAAGGTTGGTTGCTTCTCGGTGTCCGTCTTGTGTTGTCGTGGCTGCTGCTGCTTGTTCGGGGATGGAAGCCAGCACATTTCGAACGTTCCACCCACTCAACTTTATATACAGAAACTTATGTACATATTTACAAGACTACACCATCGGAACCGTCGCATGTTGCCTCGGCAGAGCCGATAGTGCAGAGCACTCTTTGCTGCGACCAGACTCCCCCGCGAGGACTCGGAAGCCAGGTTTTAATACTTCGGTTGCCCCTCCCGATTCTCCTCACGGCCAACCAAAGCAATTTAGTCCGTTTATTGGACAGACAACACATTTGTTGCCGTCCCCTCCTCTCGCTCTCTTCTTCCCGCACTCGACTGCTCGGTCGGAAAGAGAGACACGAAAGGACCGGCCCTGCCCCCAACGTTCCGCGAACTGTGCAAACGCACACAATAGTGGCGCCGTTCGGCTGCGGCCTCCTACATCACCGCGAGATGACTACAGCTGTCCAGCATGACAGCCGTCCTGTGGACTCTACTCCTGACGGATGGGTGGCTATGCACTGTCCTCCCGTCACCCGCCTGGCAATCCGCAGTCCGGGGACCATTTAGCTGGTTGCTAGAAGCGGCGATTGACCGCGGTATTTTTGCCAGAAGGGACGCGCTTACGCCGAGATTATCGTCTCCCGAGAATAGGCTTTTTGGGAAGCGCGCCCTTTTGAGACCGAGAAGACTCGCTCCCGTGGCCTGCGACGCCAGACCTTACAATTACCATCACTTAAGCGAAACAAAGAGGGGCTAACCTGGCCCAAGACTTTGTAAGGACCCCGATACTTGGGGCGCTTGCCTGGCACACGAACCTTGACTAGATCGCCGGTGCGAACTTTGGACTGCTTTGCACCTCGACGGGTGTCGACATACTTTTTCATTGCTTGTTGATGAGAAAAAACCCTGGTACGGATTTGATCAGGAGAAGACACTGCTATGTTACGAGGCAAAGAGACTATGTCGAGAGAAACTCGCGGTTGCCTACCGTGGAGAAGTTGAGCAGAAGATACTCCAGTGATGCCTTGTGGTGTGAACCTGTACGAAGCTAAACATTCAGTCCAGACTTGCTTGAGGGGACGGTGCTCTAATTGGGCGATCCGGATATGTTCCTTCAGAACGCGATTAAAGCGCTCGATTTGCCCATTTGATTGGGGATAGAAAACTGATGACCTCAAGTGCTGAATTCCTCGTTGTGAGAGAAAAGCCTCGAATTGTTGAGACTGAAACTGTGGACCATTGTCCGTAACTATGGCATCAGGAAAACCTTGCCGGCTGAAGATTGAAGACAGAAATTCAATGATGACCTCAGAAGTAACCGTATGTGTGAAACAAAGCTCTGGCCATTTGGAATGGTAGTCAATGAGAGAAACAATGAACCGGGCATTTTGCGGAACATTATGAAAAGGACCGATGATGTTCATGCCGAGTTTCTGCCAAGGCCGATCAGGCCACTGGACTGGCTGCAACGGAGAAAATGCAGGTTTGGCAGACTTGTCAGCTGCCTGACATATATGGCAGTTGTAAACTGCATGCTCCACCTGCTTGTCTAAGGCTGGCCACCAGTACCTGTCTCGGAGATTCTGTTTGGTGCGGACAATGCCTAGATGGGCCTCATGGGCAAGCTGTATTAGCTTGTTACGGAAAGAAGCAGGGGGAATCACGCATTCATCGCGGAAAAGCAAGTCCTCGACACAAGACAGTTCCTGTCGGACTGCGAAGTAAGGAAAGAATTCATAAGCAAGAGCACATTTGAAAGGCCATCCTTCACGTAAATATTTGAGAACTTGAGACAAAGTGGAATCTGCAGCTGTAGCTGCCTGAAGCTCAGCTTTAGTAATGCAGGAAGTAACTAATGAAACAACTTCCTCATCCCGCTCTTCAGTAACCGGTATCTGAAGAGGAAGGCGCGACAGTGCGTCAGCAACCACGTTATTAGAACCCTTACAATATTGAACACTGAAATTATAATACATGAGTTTGGCACACCAACGGGAAATGCGAATGGGGCGGCGGCCTTCGGAATCCTGCAGAAAGAAGAGCAACTAGTGCCAGCCTTCAAGATTGAGAAATAGAGCTTGTAAAATAACTACGTACTTATGGCATTAACTACTGGAGCTACAAATGCCAAGAAAAATGACATTCCTGTAGCGCCGCAAGAAAAAAAGGGTCGATAAATATAGGTAGCCGGTCCCCTTAAGTACATTGCACATGCGAGTGCTGCGCTTCTTTACATGATATATGAACAATGTAAGCACTCGTAAAAAGTTTTGTTTCTCATATCAACTTGTCCTGAAGACCGCCACGGTATTATAACTACCCGTGTTCGCGTAGGCTACACATCCACATTCTTAAAAAGGCTTAGAGCAGCAAAACTTGCCTATATCTGAAGAGTGATGACCCATAATTTGCCTTAGTTCTTCTAATGTATTACAATTAGAAAACCAATTAGCACAAATGAATTGGACCATAACGAACATATTTTAACAGTATTGATGCTGCAATTGAGTTCTTGTAATAATGCTAACTACTAAGAACAAAAGAAGCAGCACTCGCCCGCCTTTTGACTGTACTTCCAAGGCAGGATAATTGCTGGTCATTAAGGGTAACTGACTGGATTCCCAGTGAAGGCAAACGCACGAAGGGGAGACAGAAAGTTAGGTGGGCCGATGAGATTTAAAAGTTTGCAGGTATAACATGGCAACGAAAAGCACAAGACCGGGTTGATTGGCGGATCATAGGAGAGGCCTTTGCCCTGCTGTGAGTGTAGTCAGGCCGATGATGATGAAGAAGTAGACTTCTTTTACGTGAACTTTGATTCCTTTAGTTTTGGACCGGAATGAACAGAAGGTGTGTAAATGTTTTGGACCACAAAGAGAATAACTTGTTGACAGCAGTGATATATTATCACACAAAAATGCATGAGTGTGCACCAACATTTCGCAGCTGATGTTCAAGAAATGTCTTCAGAGTCTTTCAGATCATCGCACTGAGTCCAGCTGGACACCATAGAAGAGCTCAGCTCTGCTTGTGTGGTTTTAGAGATGGCCTCACAGCATGTGGTCTTGTCAGCAACGTCTATCCCGATGAAGCATTTCGCAGATGCCTCAGCCTCGAATCCTTGCCTGACTTTCGAAGGTCCTGCACCATATGACCTGCCATTGCTGCAATCGAAGGAATGCTTCTTCTGCACCTAGACACAAGGAAAGGATAAGTGTGACAGAAAGATGAATATGTATCAGAAGAATCTGAATGCAAAAAGTTATCATCAAGGATAAGATACACCCATTTAAAGATGCATGAAGCATGTTTGATACTGTGCAGATATGATGAAAACAAAGTAAACAAAATGGATATTAATTAGTGCTGACTCGCAACTGAAAACATTTGGCTGAACAATGTGTGAAGGTGCATAAACATTGCAGAGAAGTGTTAAAAGATGTTGAGAAAAGAAGTGCTCTGTATCACCAAACAAAACACATGCTGAGCAAGCTGACCAACTCCTAGTTTATAAGAGACAAAGATGCTTATCTTTCACCCAAACTGTTAATTAATTGACGAGAATACAAATATTTTTAGAGTGTAGCTTTAAATAAGAACATTGGTGTCAAGAATGCTAAAAAGAGTATCAGGTAGGGTTCCACGACTGTTTGAATGCTTCGAATATTCAAATGAATATTATTGTATTTGAATTTGCTGCGATTAGAATTCAAATTATTCAAAATTTTGAAGTATTCGAAGTGAACAAATCGATGCACAGATCTGCATGTAACCTTTCTAAAGATAGTGTCACTGCATTGATTGAATGCTAGGCCATGAAAACACCTGTCCAGGGAGTGAAGTTCGTGTGTGTGCCCCTTTCTCCAGTGCGAACCGAGAAAGCCGGCTTTTGTATGTCGCTGCTGAGAATGAGACTCTGACTGGGAATATGCAGTTGGTTTATTCACTATGTGCACTCGGCGCGCTCCGGAATTCGTCTCTCCCCAAACCCTCCCCGCTCGTCTGTCATAAACACTGCTGCACTGGGGTCTTCATAAGTTCGTGCACTGGTGTTCTCGGGCAAAGGTCACGTGCCATGGTTTGGGCACAATGCTCCAATGCCTCAGCAGTCGAGGTATGCAACGCCATAGTCATCGGACCATTTAGTGCAGCAGAGTCGCAGTCCGTGACGAGCACTTGAAGTCGTAAATTGGAGCCCAAAGCTCGTTAAGTAGACGCTGGCTGCCGTAGCTGTCAGAGACCCCGCACAATGGCTTGCGCCCACCGCCCGGTCATAGAGTCCGCTGACAGAGATGTTCCGGCCCACATCACTGCACGTTCTCGAAGGCGCGATTCCCGGAAAACACTGCCGCAGCAAGTCGATGTATGTGCCGAGCACCAGCATTCACGAGCAACTCGTTTTTGTTTATTTGAGCCGTAGGCGCCGCGTCGCTTCGCTTGACACAGGGAACATCCGCACTGCTTCGAGGTTAAATGAATGTATTACACTCACATCAATTCATCATCTCTTAAGGTTAAACGCTTGTACACTGGCCTATATGCTAAAGGTATAGTAAATTTTATAACCTTGCATATTTTACAGGTTATCACTTACATTCTACCATAAGTGAAATTCTGCTAATATTAAACGTTGTTTCCACTTCCTTTGAACAAAGAAGGAAAAATATGGCATTCGCTCAGGCCCAGTTTCAATATAAAAGAAAAATATTGTGCCAGTTAGCTAGGTCACAACAAATATGCCCCTTTTTCTCTATAATAAGCAATATATACTATTTTGATTCGATTTTACATTATTCAGCAAAAATCACAATTGCCTTCGAATTCGCTTCTAACCTGTTTTCACTATTCACACAAGCCTCACATTAGTATTGTAGTGTCTAGAAATGCATTTAGTGTATATTTGATGTAACCACCTTAAAATCAGGTCATTATTCCATTAACGTGCAAGGTGTCTATGACATCTGGGTGTCTCGCATTGGCAAAATTAAGTAAGCAGTCACACGTGATGCAGTGCTATGCAGATAGGGGTGTGCGAATATTTGCAACTTCTAAATAACGAGTCAAATATTATTCTATTCGATGCAATACTGAAATTAAATAGTGCTTATCCGAAATATCGAATACTTTTGGAATAGTTTTCGGAAGATCAGCAATGACGAAAAATGCGTGAAGGAATGAGATGTGGGCAACCTGTTTTCATTATCAAATTACACAGATACACGCAGCCCATTTACTTAAGGCAGTAATGATGCCATATTGCATTATTAGGACTCTAAGATCAGCCCTTTACTCAAGAAAAGATCTTGGGTGCATGGCCTCCCAGTACATCAGTGCAGAAAGCCACACGAGCCCTCCTAGAGTAGTACTTGAAGGCAATGCCACTGAGCGACTGCCTGTAAAAAACTGCACTGTGTGGAGTGCAATGGGTCTCTGCTCCCTCTCCTTCCCCTCTCTTCTTAGTTCTCTTATTTCCCTCTCCCCTTGTGTTGGGGTAGCAAACTGGACATGGTTAAGTTAAACTACCTACTTTTTCTACATTTCTTCTTCCTCTCGTGACATCACATGTAATAGAGCTGTTTTGATCATAGCTCCAGTGTCGTCGAAGCAACAATATTAGCAGTCAACTATGTTTGTTATCAAATTCATGAAGAGTTAACTCATAAAAACTGCTTAATATTTACGTATCACTTTCATTCAACAACTATTGACAGAGTACCGCATTGAATACTGTAGTCTCTGCTATACTTAAGCCTGCAGTCGAAAAATATTTTGAAGGCTCTAGCTACTGGCGAGTTTAAATATTTGTAATATTTTCTGTCGGTTAAAAGTAATTGTGACGTGGTTTTATTAAACTTCCTTAATATGTTTCAAATAGGATTTAGAATTTCCACGCTGTTTTTAAAAAGTATCACCTTGCCAGTTTATACCTGCTTTGGAAACTGTTGCCTTGCTATTAGAAAACTACAGTGTATTTGTATCCGATTTAGAGTTATCACTATTTGAACGTTTCAAAAATTCGCTATTTGTACACCTCTAGAAGCAAAGCATTAGGATACTTGAGCAAATTATTGTCCTCTCTTAAGAGCATACCAATACACTGGCCAACCTTGCCTCACGTAAAGCCTCCCACAAGTAAGTAGAATCTGCTACACAATAGCACGCTTGCAAAGTATTAACAAAGGTGCATACTTAGTCCCATGGCTAGCACTAGATAATATTGTTACGCACAAGGAGGACCAGGACGTATACAGCTGAAGAGGGCCGTTTATTTCGGTCGCGAATAGAAGCGCCGGAGCGGCCAACAGGATGATGATCGCAGTGTCGTCGTCTTCCTTCTTCTAGCTTGGGGCAGCCAGCATGTTCACCCATCTTCGTTTTCTTCCCAGGCATGCGCAACGTTCCTCCCCTTGCAGACAAAGCTCGCCAGGCGAGGTAATTGGTTCACCTTGGTGTGTACGACTTCAGTCGAGCGACATGAACTGCTTGGGTTTTAGCGGCTCTTCTACCACATCTCGTGAGGCGAACTATTGTGTACGTGACTTCAGTGATTTTGTTGAGAACAACAAACGGTCCGTTATATGTGGCCAAGAACTTTTGGCATAACCCGCGTCTTCGTACCGGAGTCCACAGCCACACTAAGTCGCCTGGATGGTAAATTACAGGCCGGTGGCAGATGTCATAGCGTGCCTTCGATTTTTCCTGTGATGCCAAAGTGCGTAGATGAGCAATACGACGCGCCTCTTCTGCAAGTCAGAGGATTTCGGTGACTGAGAGGTTCTCGTGCGCCGAGAATGGCAAAACTGCGTCATGTGTGTGCCGTAGCGGTCGTGCATACATCAAGAAAAAGGAGCTATAGCCTGTTGTCTCGTGCTTAGCGGTGTTGAACGCGTACGTCATAAATGATAGCACGTCATCCCAGTTCTTGTGGTCGGATGCCACATCCATAGAAATCATGTTTACAATTGTTCGGTTGGTGCACTCCGTGAGCCCATTTGTTTGCGGATGGTATGGCGACGAGTGACGAAGGCGGGACTCACTCAATGGAAGCAGCTCTTCTACTATATCTGCCGTAAATTGTCGCCCACGATCACTGATGATCACGTGAAGTGGGCCATGTCGGAGGATAACGTGCTGCAGCAGAAACACAGAGACGTCGCTGGCAGTTGCGGTTGGTATTGCGACCGTTATGACAGGTAGATTGCCACTATCCCTCAAGAGAAAGGTATATAACAGCTGTATCTTGCCGGTACTTAGCTACGGAGCAGAAACCTGGAGACTTGCAAAGAGGGTGCAGCTTAAATCGAGGACGATGCAGCGAGCAATGGAAAGAAAAATGGTAGGTGTAACCTTAAGAGACAAGAAGAGAGCAGAGTGGATTAGGGAACAAACGGGGGTTAAGGACATCATAGTTGAAATCAAGAAGAAGAACTGGACATGGGCCGGGCATGTAGCGCGTAGACAGGATAACTAAGGGTAACTAACTGGATTCCCAGAGAAGGCAAGCGGGTTACGGAGAGACAGAAGGTTAGGTGGGCAGATGAGATTAAGAAGTTTGCGGGTATAAATTGGCAGCAGCAAGCACAGGACCAGGTTAACTGGTGGAACATGGGAGAGGCCTTTGTCCTGCAGTGGACGTAGTCAGGCTGATGATGATGATGATGGAAACCGTCTCGCAGTAGCGCGTGAGGTAATCGACGCATACAATTATCCAGCGATTGCCCTTGGCCGACTTTGGAAAAGGGCCCACGAGGTCAATGCGCACCTGTTGGAAAGGTGTGCTTGGAGGTGGCAAAGGCTGTAGAAGACCAGCCGGAGCAGTAGATGAGCGTTTGTGGCGTTGACACTGCGTGCAGCTGGCCACATACGCCTCGACTGACTGTCGCATTCCCGGCCAATAAAAGCGTTCCTTAGCACGGTAAAGCGTCCGCGCAGAACCTAAATGCCCGAACGTAAAATCGTTGTGCATAGTACCTAAAATTGCTGTCCTAAGGCTTTCCGGCACTACCAGGAGGAAACGTGCGCCAGTGCTGGAAAAAGTTTTTCTTTTACAGGAGTCCGTTGCGTACACAGAAATGGCATGCTGTAGGAGCTGTGCAGAGCGATGATAGCCTGGTGTCCTTTCGCTGTTCATTTTTGAAAGTACTGAGGTCGGGAAACTTTGGTGACACAGAAGCTACGAGGTGATCGAGGTCATCGGCATCACACTCTGTAGTGCTCAGTGGCATGTGCGAAGGGCAATCTGCGTCGGCATGTCGTCGACCACTTTTGTACGAGACTATGAAGTTATACTCTTGGAGCCGAAGTGCCCAGCGCGCTAGACGGCCGCAAGGGTCCCGAAGGTTGACGAGCCAACACAATGAGTGGTGGTCGGTGACGACTGTAAAAGGGCGTTCAAATAGGTAAGACCGAAACCGCTGAATTGCAAATACTACCGCGAGGTATCCTTGTTCTGTAACAGTGTAATCCTGCTTGGGCCTACTCAAGGAGCGACTTGCGCATGCGATCACGTGCTTGCGGTTACTATAATGTTGAACTAGGACGGCACCAATTCCTATGCCGCTGGCATCCGTGTGCAGTTCTGTTGGAGCTGATGGGTTGAAGTGTTGGAGAACAGGCCGCGACGTCAGGAGGAACTTCAGTTGACGAAAAGAGGAGTCGCACTACAGAGTCCACTTGAAGGGAGTATTCTTCCGTAGCAAACATGTCAGTGGATACGCACATCGGCAAATTTAGGTATAAAGCGGCGAAAATAGGAGCAAAGCCCAAGAAAACTGCGGAGCTCCTTAATAGAGCGCGGCGCACTGAACGTTTCAACGGCTGCTGTCTTCTGGGGATCTGGACGGATGCCATCCTGATCGACTAGGTGTCCGAGAGCAAGGGTTTGTCGGTCTCCGAAGTGGCATTTATTAGAGTTAAGAACAAGCCTAGCGTTTTTTATGCAAGTCACTACAGTATCCAGACGTGAATTGTGTTCGCTGGAGGTGCGGCCAAAGATGACGGCGTCGTCGAGATAGCACATGCAAATGCTCCACTTCAAGCCACAAAGAACAGTGTCCATAAATCGCTCGAACGTCGCCGGTGTGTTGCACAGTCCAAATGGCATCACGTTGAATTCGAAAAGGCCATCAGGGGTTACAAAGGCTGTCTTTTTTTTTTTTTTTTTATCTTCAGGATGCATGGGAATTTGTCAGTAGCCCGATCTCAAGTCTACAGAGAAAAAGTAAGAGGCCGAATGTGGACAGTCTATGGCATCATCAATACGTGGAATTGGGTGCCTGTCTTTTTTTGTTACAGCATTCAATAGGCGATAATCGACGCAAAATCTCCAGGATCCATCTTTCTTTTTAACGAGAATTGCTGGAGCTGCCCATGGACTTGCCGACTCTTGAATTACTCCGTTTTGAATCATTTCGTTCACCTGCTCATTAACAATCCGCCGCTCGGATCGCGAAACACGGTATGGCTTTTGTCTAATCGGATTGGCCAAACCCGTGTTGATAGTGTGACATGTCCGAGAAGCAGGGATTAAGGGCACTTCGTCTTTCTACGCAAAGTTGAATGCAGAGACGTGCTTCGAAAGTACATTCACCAATGTTCGGCGTTCACTTGTGCTCAGCGACTTATTCACCATTGACAGAAGAGCCATTTCAAAACTGTGACTTGGCGCATCTCTAAGCTCGGTCACCAGTAAGGCCTCGTGTTGTCCACTGACGATGGCTAGCTTTAGACCATCTAGTAACATCACGGGTTTCGTGGAGCAATTGACAGTCCCTAAACCAGCGCGTCCACATCTGATCGACACCACACAAGGTGGGATCAACACATTCTTTTTTATGCAGTTGGTGTACACTGGTTCTACGTTAGAATCAAAGTTGGCGGAATAGCTGTCGCTACAACCAACAGGTACACGAACAGTTGATAACGGTGGTATGATAGTGTCGCCACAGACACACAATGCCATCTCACCATCCACAGGGTTTTTCAAGGGTGCTGGCGGAACGTGATCACTCAAGAATATTGTCCCTGTGCGGCAGTCGACAGTCGCACCACACTCCCTCAAAAAGACCATACCCAAAATAACATGATGTGTTGCCTGCGCAATAATCACGAACTCCGTTGGGACAACATGGCCTCCGAGAAACACGTCAGCTTGTCACACACCAACAGGATGCAGTGCCTCACCACTCACTCCACAAAGCTTCGAAGCTTGATTCCACTTAAATAAAACCTTCCGTCCCAAGATATCGTTAAAACACACACTCATGACAGAAATGGTTGCCCCCGTATCCACTAATGCCATCACAGGCACATCGTCAAAAGAACACGTACTTTGTTCTTGAGCATCAACACAGGATGTATTTCTGATATTAGCACGTCTCCGGTGACCTCACCTCCATCGGCCGCGCTTGCTAGTTTTCTTGTGGCAAAGGAGACGTGTTGCGACGCCGTGGTGAAGGAGAACGGGGAGTGGTTCCGGAAGCTGCGTGTCCAGTAGTCTTCGCGAGGCAGCAGGTGTGTTGCCCTAGGGTCATCATGCAGTCGATCAGACGATCGTGTGGAGTGTTGTGGTGGGCCATAGTACGTTGCTCGCGGGTCGTCGCGAAGTCGTTCGGAAGGCCGTGCAAAGTTTGGCGGGTGGCCATACCGTGGGGCTACACGTTGACGGTAGCGAAATCGCGAAATATGTCCTGGGACACCACGGGAGTAGCAAACCATGAGAGGTCGAAACTCTGTTTGTTCGTCAATGAATCGAACATCGTCTTCCCTAGCGTAGTGGGTTGGTTCGTCACGTATATCATAGGGATAGACCGGGCGTCGCGAAGAAGGTGGACGCCGATCATGGCGAGGAGCTCGCAAGCTCTCCTTGACTGTGGGGGTGCGCTGTACTCAACAGCTACTGCACTAACCATCGATTGCCAAGGGGTCGTAGAAGGCGGCGGCCCAGGCACAGCCTCACGTGGCAGATATACCGAGTGTTGGTCGTTTACAGAATGGTGATCAACTGCTGAATGTGTCTGTTCTCTATAGCGAAAAAGTTCTTCGCGAACGATCTGTCGAATCATCAAGGACAGGTCTGGGCAGGAGCTCGTGTCGATGCTGGCAACCGTTGTAACATTTGTGAGCCGGCCGAACTTGGAGCAATCCTGTGCATTTTCAGCAGTTCGAAAGTTCGTTAATGCCGAACGACGTCGGACACCGAGCTCAGGTGCTCTTTTCTGATGAGAAAATTATAGACATCTTCGACTATGCCTTTCAGCAGATGTCCTACTTTGTCTTCTTCTGACATCTGATCATTGACCACCTTGCAGAGCTTCAGCACATGCTCTATATACGTGGTACATGTCTCGTCTGGAAGCTGCGCGCGATTGAGACAATGTCTGCTCTGCCCGCTTCCTTTTGACGCTCGAGTCGCCGAAACACTGCTTTCAGCTCCGCAACAAGAATGTCCCATGTCGTCAGTGTGTCCTCGTGACTGTCGTACCACACGAGCGCAGTATCCGTGAGGCAAAAGACCACATTACAGAGCTGAGCGGCAGCATCCCAGCCATTGGACTTGCTGACTCGCTTGTACTGGACCAGCCGCGCGTCGACATCTTCTCTTGATTTTCCTCCGAAGGTTGATGGAGCTCGGTAGTAGGGCACGGAGCCCACTGGAGTTGGCCTTGAAGCGTTAGATGACTGATCTTGGGCCATTGCGACCGGTGCAGGCGGGAGTCTGGCAAGGCGGCGGCTGCGGCGAAGTCCTGGTAGTGAAGCTCCCGTCGTTGGGTTAGTCTTAACCAGCACCTTCACCAATCTGTTACGTACAAGGAGGACCAGGTCATATACGGCTGAAGGGGGCCGTTTATTTTGGTCGCGAAGAGAAGCGCCGAAGCGGCCAACAGGTTGATGATCGCAGTGTCGTCGTCGTCCTTCTTCCTTCAGGGTGGTGCAGCCAGCATATTCACCAATCTTCGTTTTCCTCCCAGGCATGCGCATCAATATGCAATGTTTCTTTGCCAACCTAGTTAACCTGTCTGCGCTTGTTGACATGCTTTTTACTCTTGCCTCTATGTGTCATTCAATTAAACTTTTCTGTTAAGTGACAGCGCTCGTTCGTTCCACTTTCTGCTGCACCAAACATGTTCACCCTTCACATCACAGCACTGCGCATATTTCATTGACCGATTAATGCAAGCCGTGCCTCGGCCGATTCAGCGCTACGAGTAATGTACGCCGCCTGGGTGTCACTTAATGCACAGCTCCTTAAAAATGAAAAAGGTGCATGGCCTCCTCTACAGCCTTTTCTCTGTCACTGACATACCAGTATCCTTTTGCATTTCGTCATTGGCATAGCGTTACGGTCTGCATTGTGCATTCAAAATTAGGCATCAAAGCACGAAGCTGACGTGTTTTTACTGGTTGCACCGTGTTTTGAATCTTTCTAGGAACTTGCATTCTCACCCCGCCCTGTTTTGTTATGTACATTGAAGAGTGTAGAGTACATTGCTGGGGGTATCGACCCTTCATGCACGCACTGCTCTCTCTAGCTTGGAGATGATTTGGCGTGCCCGCAAATACGGATGCTGGCAGATCAACACTACAAGGGTTGTTCATATGTAATCGCAGGCAAACCAAGGATTGTTCTGCCAGCTGCAGGTTTTACCTACACCTGTGTCCAACATCACTTACTGCAACAGACATGCACAATCGGGCAGTTACCCCAAAAGTGAGCACAACAGCAGCAGACATGCACAATGGGGCAGTTACCCCAAAAGTGAGCACAGCAATCTGAAAGTATGCTACAAAAAGGAAATTTTTTTTTTTAGCCACGTCCATTTCCTTTCAACATTTTACGGTTCCAGACTGTTCACGAGTGTAACTCGTCATCCGAATGTGCAAGAAGTTGATGGTTTCAACCTTCCCTAACCTCAAAACCAAGTGTCTTCCTGCAATGACATTGGCACCTTCGGTATTGTGAAATCATGATTTAGTATTATGAAAATAATCATATTTCTCCTTAGTGCTCCTTCAGGAAAATAAAATGAAGTGAAATCAAATGTACTTACTTCACCTCCTACACTTTGTTGCACCTCATTCAAGTGAACGCGCATATGCCTCGCTATCACCAAGCGGTCCAAAAACGCACTCGGGCAAATGGAGCACCTGTACACTGCAGTGGCCAGGCGGCTGCGAGCCTGCGAATCACATTTCTCACTCGAGCCCAGGTATTTGTCAACCGTGCGTGTTCTTTCACGACACTGACAACTGTGCTTGCGAATGTGCCACTTCGTGATAAACATGCTGTCACAGCAGTTGCACACGAACGGCTTGACGGGCATGTGGTGGCGCTGAATGTGACGCCGTATGTTCAAGTAGTTGCCAAATGCAAGTTCACACAGTGGGCACTTCACCGCACTCATGTTGATGTGAACGGCGAGATGGTCCAGCACTGCGCCCCAGCTAGAGCACGGCTCCGAACACAGGCCGCACTGGGAGGGCTCGGGCCAGGGGCACACCATAACGTGCGAGAACAGGGCATCCACCTCCGTGAAACTGCGCGAGCAAACGCCACAGCCGTATGGACCAACCACGAAACACACGTTCTCAGAGGGAGGGATTTTTTTCTTTACGTTGCACGATTTGTTGGCGTCCATCTTGATTCCACAGTCACCTTCTGTGGAATCAATTGACTTTTGCATGCTCGTGCACTGCACAGCTCACTCCTCTTGAATTCCTCGGCACTAAGAACACTGCTGAAACTGAAACCGGAAAGTTCAGTCCACTATACTGTGAGAATGGTTAGTAACTTGCAACCTGAGGTGGCACACACACAAAAGAAGCATACTTACATACATTTAATACGCGGACGCAACACCATTTCCGAATAGACATTCACTCATTCAAAGAATTTTTAAACTAGATGTAGCTTTAACATACCTGTACAAGCCTCCTAGCTTGCCCCATGAGTGAGAATGTAAACTAAAGAACAGGATGGTGACAATATCGAAATGCATAAGCGTGTACCTTTGCTTTGAAATGGGACTTTTGCGGCTGAGGAGGGCTTGTGGAGGCCTTCCAACCCGTTGGTTTGCATCCGCCGACAGATCTTTGGAGTGGGTATCTTGACCTGTGTTGATTTGGCCAGGCCCACCTCACACGACGTAGACTGATCACGACGCGAAGCAGCATTGCGTTGCATGACTGCGGGTGGAACTGCAACCTAGAGTCAGAGAGCATAACAATGCGTTCAACAATGTAATAAACCGTAAAGGCATGTAAAGGCTAGTTCCATATGTTCAACATGAAAAACACATTCATCTACTCGTTTTTTTTTGTTGATTTATTGAAAAACAGGAGCTTCTATATCTGTGCACCGATGTTCCTCTGCTCCATTGTGCAATATGTGGAACACACCAAAAACAAAGGTATAGGCATAAAAAAAATAAGTGCTCTGTAACAAATTTCTACGAGTCATTCTTGTGGTCTGACACCAGCTACAAATGTGCACTCGCAATTCACACGCTAGAACATCCGATGCTGTTAGCACAAATGTTTTACACTAAGACAATTTGATCCTTGCAGTGGCTGTTCCAAGTCAAGTTCTTCTTTGACAAGTTAATCACTGTTCTTTCACCACTCCAGCACAAACTGAGCAAATGGCTGTTCCCCATGACTTCAATCCAAAGAACTGCATTTTCTCTTTTTTTTGCTAGGCTGTCTCGCAAGACCAAAGCCTGCTCACGAGTAACCTAAGCAATCAGCAGAGACGACCTGTAGCATGACCTCCATTCAGAAACAGTTATTGTGGCACTAGTATTAAAGACACTAAAGAGAACGATTTTCCTAGCATTAGTAAATTACAATTTCACAATATGAAAAGTGCCATCTTGCGGCAAAAGGATGCTTGGTAAGCGAGAAAAGGTGCAGTAAGAAAATACAGCTGGCAGCTGCACCTTGATGTTTCCGCACCAGTTCACCGTGGCGTCACAAAGGGTGACGGCGCCTGCTTGGTTGGGCATACGTAATTGTTCCTGAATAAAAGCACGTGAGGTTCCAAGAGGCAGGTAGTCTTAACAAAACAAGTTTCAGAAACTTTCATGAAGCTAATAAGGCCTAAAAATGTGCAAAATGTCTCCGAAATAAACACTATCACGTTGACAGTGCTGAATCTCAGGCATGAAATTCAACCATCGAAGCTTGACCTTAATTTCTGCTGCTAATAATTGACCTATTACTGCCAAATCAGTGACCATACGGTTCTAAAAGAACAACTTATCTCACTTTTTTAGTATCATTTTATTGTCTCTTCAAAAACATTGCCTCCCTGTCTTCGTACTATGGGCTCAGCTAAACTAGTTTAACATCTAGATGATCCCTTTAAACATTGCTGGGATTCACAGCATATGTCTGTTTTTCCGAAATGCTTATTTCATGCGCATTTATTTAGTTATGTCGGTCAACTTCAGGTATTTCTATAGCCATATATTATTGCCTCTCTCCACTCATTACGTGTCGGGCAGCTTTGCTCAAACTGTGGCCCCTTTGTCGAGAAAACGATAAATCATCAACCCTGAAGCGATGTTACCAAGAATAGGATGTGATAGAACAGCAGCACTGACGCATCATGAAGCAATCATGAAGCTTCCAAACTGTTTTGGGAATTTCGTTTCTCTTAATGATAACTAGCACTATGAGCTCAGCATTGCACCACTCCTTGTTTTCACTAGATTGCTTGTAAATAATGTTTCTTTTATATACCATGAGGCAAAGACAACTATACGATAAAAAAAAATTATGGCTGAAATGTGCACTGACACAAGAGCACACCTTCAATGTTCTCGCGTGTTCTACTTCTACATGCTACTGACCTGTGCATCTAACTTATAACACACAGACTGATGTGGTTAATGTATGCACACATCACACGTGTACGTGATGGACAGTGATGCACGAGTTTTTTTTTTTGCAAGTCTTTTCAAATAACATCAGTGACAATGGGAGCAGGTTGAAGGGGAGCAGGGCTCCAACCCCTATGCCACCATTTTTTTACATTTGCATATATCTACATGTGCACAAAGAAGGGGGAGCAGGGTGCCACTGCCCCCTCCCTCCATCATCCAATAGGCTGAAATTGAGGCACAAAGTTTGCCCCATGCTGGTATTAAGTCGTTCTTCTCCTATCACTGTTTAACAAGCATGATTATGGCCACGCAGGCATCTGGCAATAATGGCGGCCAAAGACCGAGTATTCCAAGAATATGCTTACTTCCCTTTTCCTCAATTCCATATACTTGACGTGTTAAGCAGGCCATTCGGGAAAACGCATCAATAATAGTTCGCATGAACACAGACACAAAAAGAAAACATTGAAAACAGCGCATCTGACGGTTTTCTCGCACTCTATTATAATCTGCACCAATGTTCCCCTCTCTTTGAGGCTACCAAAATAACGAGTAGTAGCAAATATGAAATAACAAGAGATGCTGAAGATTGCTGTGCTCAGAGATCTGTATATGAGTAAGTAGTCGTTGGCACTATAAGACAAACAATTGGTATATGTGCACGTGCCTTGAGATTTCAATGTATGCACTTTGTAGATCACATGGCTTGTGACTCTCGAAGCGAGTGCATGAATGCACTCTTGTTCTGAAAATAAACTAGGTTGGAAGTTAGTGCTGTACGTGTCTATATATGACTTTTATTTTGTTCTGTTTTATATGCGCGCTACGAGGAAGCCCACTCGTGTGCTATCAACAAATGCATCCGAAGGGGGGGTGCACTATAGGGGGGGGAGTGGCAGCCCCCCTTGGAGTTTTGGATATTTTTCTATGCAGTAGCAAAAGCTGACGCCCCCCCCCCCCCCCCTTCTCCCTACCCTATGTTTTTTGCCGATGCACCCCTCTGGAACAAAAATCACAGCATATCCACGGGGTCAATGATGATGTGTGGGCGAAGCTTCGGAGGGGTTCGTCGGTAAGCCGTGAATATTTTGTGATAACTAGCCCAGCACCTCATCGAAGACGTGACAAACACAGTATAAACACAACGAGATTTGGTTGCCGTCGAACCACAAGCGGTGGCAAACCTTGCAGCTGTGGCCGAAACTGCGGTCCGAAATGTCTCGCTCCAGGCGCGTGTCCGCGACTTTGGACAGCGATCTCTTCAGGCGCTTAGCCGCGGCTTCCCGCGCCCGCGCTGCCTCGAGATGCGCCTGCCTGAGCTCGCGTTTCATCGCCGCTTCTCGGGCTCTCAGCTCGGGATCCGCTTGCCTGCGATTCCGTGCCGCTTCGGCTTCACGGGCTCTCAGCTCGGGATCCGCTTCTCGGCGCTTCCGTGCAGCTTCGGCTTCGCGGGCTCTCACATTCGGGTCCTGTCGGCGAGCGCGCGCTGCAGCAGCTTTCCGAGCCCTCCGAACCGCCGCCTTGTCGCTCATACGTACTTCGAGCTCGCAGACCACCGAAACAAGAGGAAGCCCGCTAAGTGGTAGGTGTTTTCTGGGGAGGCCACATAGCACCATTTGAGCCATCGAGAGCACACCCTTGACTAAAGTACCTAGCTTTCTCCATTTTAGCAAGAAGAGCGAAAGATCTAGGGATTTTACCATGTGGCGTACCAACGCCGTACACTCCAACGCTACACGTGGGAGTGTACGCATCACAATAACACCACAACAAGAACAACACAGAAGAACAATGGGAGGCCAGTGTCTGCTGTCCACCTCGGCCATTGTTGATTTGCGCTGGCTGGTCCAACGGGTACAGATGATGGCTACGGCCAGCGGAGCCCTGGAATAGGGGCCCAACAATTTGGGCCCCTCCGCGTTATGCGCAAATAGTTTTTTTTTTTTTCTCTCTCTCTCTCTACCATGTGGCGGTAGTGGTTTGAAGGCGCCTAATTTCTGCAGCCCTGTAGAAAATAAGGTCCCTAGATGAAACAAATTTATCTAAAGACCTTAGTAGCTAGGGAGCACGGCGCAGTGCCTTTTCCCATGCACGGATGCGGGCTTTGTCCACACATCGCCTCTTCTACTTTTTTTTCGCCTTCGCTCGCTTCTACCGCGCGTAATACAAAGCTCACGAATGCATACGGTTTGCACCCTAGTGTAGTGACATTCGCGCTTCTTGCGAACTTTCACGAGTACAGGGGTGACGGAAAGTAACGCGAACATAACTGCGCGTTATTTTGATCATGCTCTGACCGTGGTGGCGATAAAAATATGTCGGATAGTTTTTGATTGTGACATATAGATGCAAGCCAGATTCGTTTCTCTCTTTTTTTTTTTTTAAGGGGGAAGGGGTTGTATGTTTTGTGCACATTTGTATGTGTGCATGTACTCGTGCGCAATAGCAAAATCGAAAATTTTCGGTGCACGGGGGGGGCAGAACCACCTATCCTCTGCCCCCCCCCCCCCCCCATGCATGGATGACTGTTTCTGTCAGTCATCCAGTCTACAACGGCTGTAAAATAGATGCGAAAAAGCAAGAAATAGAGATGCCACATGCTTATGTTTCCACGCCCACTATATGTATTCCACAGGCAGTCTGTCAGGCCATGCTGCCAGTTCGATACTTAAATTCGAGATTGATAGTTTTATTTTCTATTTCAGGCTTTTGAAACCACATCATTTACATGCCTCATTATGTCATACTATCGAGTACCACCCTGTAAATCTAATTAATGGAAAGTATTCACCACGGTCTTTTTTTATTGTTTCCCTTCATAGATAAATTAAAAAACAGCAGGGTGCTTTCTGTGTTCACCCGAGACTATATATACTGAAAGGTAAGAGCCATCCGCTTCTTTTTCTCCCCAGTAAATGAATTGAACATCTCCTATTTCGTGGCTCAAGAAGGCTGCAGTAGTGTCCGTCTTTGCAGACTAGCCTTCACATTTGCAGTCCAAGGTAACAACTGAACTGCTAGCATGGCAATCACCACTACACCTCGCCGTGCTGCATCCGAATTGTCAGCGAATGAACGTGCCAGTAGCAACACTGTCTTCCAATCGCTGCCATGTGCCATGCCGACATTAGATCCTAAAGTTGAATAATCGGAGCCCATGGATACTTTATCTGCTACCGACCAAGACAACCGAAAAGTATCACTTGCAGTGTCACAATTAACCTATGCTCAAAGTTGAGCAGGCTGACCAATGCGACAAAAGCATCCAGGTCGACGGCCATTCGGCTTCCACTTTGCTCCCTACCGAAAACACCAAATGGAAGAGAAAAGAAACCGAGACAAGCAGCCAAATGCTGCGACTATCCGTCAACGAGCACTGAGATGAGTCGAAGAATGACAACAGCCTATCGCAGTGGCTCAAGTTGAGATTTAGCACTTAGGCTTGAACAACAGCGGCTGTTCACACACATCAGCCACTGTTGCAGGAAGCATATGCAGCTGTTTTTGTCTGTTGTTTCTACCACCACAATTTAATTGCCTTAAGCTCTGAAATGATGGAATCACCTGGAAAAGTTCATAATTTTCTGATTGATTTGTGGGGTTTAACGTCCCAAAACCACCATATGATTATGAGAGACGCCATAGTGGAGGGCTGCGGAAATTTCGACCACTTGGGGTTCTTTAACGTGCACCCAAATCTGAGTACACGGGCCTACAACATTTCCGCCTCCATCGGAAATGGTTTCATAATTTTCTGGTGCCAGCTGTTGCTTACTTTCAGTGGCAACAAATGTAATTCTCAAAAGCTTTACAAAGTGAACTGGTGATTGCGTATATCGCTGGAAGCAGTCTAGTGACGTTTTGTCCTATTTGTGCACAATGTGCTATACCAGTAAACAGCATGCATAGGAAACTTCAGACCTCCAAGCTCCTGGCATTAGCTGCTTTCAAAAATGGGCTTTCACTGTCAAAAACCGACCTTCAGTCAAGTGCACATAATGGTGGCAAAACAATCTTGCACGCATCACTGGCTCTGGTGTCACTCATCACTGGCTCTCGTGCTCATGTATCAGCCTTGCAAATGACGTGCTAGCGCCTCTATCAAAAAGCAACTAAGGACGCACGTCTTTGACACGGGCTGGTTGCCCAGAACAATAAGTGCTTCACGAGTCCCATAAGCAAGTTTTCATTATACTTTGAACAGTGTGAATACCACTGAAAAGTGAACCATATAGCCGCTTCGAATCAGTGCTGCAGAACTGCCACTCCGGAATTGGAATGACTCCAAGACCATTCTACATTTTCATGTCCCAGAAATGAAATTGAGCGTGTTTAATGGACTGAGAATAAAATCGTGTTTTTTCCAAAATACTCAAATCTCGATATAATGAAACATTGGTTATAACGAAGTAAATGAATACTCTTGCAATTAATAGTTTTAATAATATACATTTGTAACAAGTTTTCAGATATAACGAAATTATTTTCGTGTAAGATGGAACTTCTTTATAAAGAGGTTCGATTATAGAGCACATTTTCATCCATGAGCTGTTTTTCACACTTCAAAGGTCAGGAAGTCAGAGCCTCGAATTTAACAATAAAGCAGTGTTTTTAAAATTGTTTGGCTGATTAAAACCACGATACATTTATAAGCAACATGCCTACTACAATTCTGTTCTTATATAAACACTGTGTTGCTGCCAAGTCTGTCTCTATTCTTCGTGCAACCATCGCTACAAGCGTGAGTGCTGACGAAAAGCCCAGTTTTTTGTATTCGAAGCAAAAGCACAAGGTCACGCAGCTCTGCACTGTTATAATACCAGCAAATCTAGAGAATTTTCGTTCTCATTACACCATTTTTAATTTTTTACATATTCACAGCTGCCCCAGTGATTGTAATAGGCATTCAATTACTATTCATAGTGACTAGTCACAATATGAAAATCATGACATGTTTATCATGAATGTCATGCTTTACATTTTATGGTCTTGCTGCAGTTTTATTCACATTACATATTGCAAAACTGGTATGGTATGACACGACTGCATGGCAAACATAGGTGGGAGACCCTAACGTGGAAATTCCGACATGCATGGCATGCAAGTCATGACTACACGCCACGCTCGCGGTCGTTTCGCTAGCTTCACATATACTAAATTTGGTATTACAGGACATGAATGGATGACAAAGGTATATGACTGGCACAAACATAATAATCATAAAATGTGTGTCATGTAAAAACATGACTACATACCACGCTCATTATGCGCTCGCCGCCATTTCGCTAGATTCACATATACCAAATTTGGCATTACGTAACGTGAACGGATGACGAAGGTAAACGACATGTCCAAACATGACAATCATGACATGTAAAACATGATTACATGTTACCCTGATAATGTGCTCGCTCAACATATACCAAATTTGGTATCACGTGACGTCAAGAGCCGACGAAGGTAAATGACACGTCCAAACAAAATAATCATGACATGGAAGTCATTTACTGTATAATTTGTGTCTGCCTCGTAACGTTGTGCCGATTTTAATAAAAGCAAGATATCATCCTTCCTCATTCGTGCTTCACATTAATCCATTCCCACTGTACGTGGGATCTGCCAATTCTTTTACTGACACGCCTTTGGCGAGTAGTTTTAGTGCTGTTTAATTATAAAAACACAAATCATCAAACACAGATGTGTAATGCGAAACATGATGGGCAGTACTGCAAGCGAGCACCATGAGAGAGTCGCCGATGATAAAAGAAATCTTCAGCAAAAGGGAACAGGTCTGCACACAAAGCATGCCAAACCACGAGAAGCTGGTCTTGACAATTCCTCTCTTGTATAACACAATGAATCTCGGCCAAGAATCATCGTGTTATATTATATGCACCTCGGTTGTGGCCCCATTAGTAAGGCCTCATAAATATGAGTTCGAAGGGAAACTGCGGATAATGAGAGTACTCGCATGGCGACTACATCCAGAGACATATGGACACAATGAGCAGTGGGAAGTACCTCCCCCGGGTATCATGTCACATGGGCAAGAGGCATCGAAGGTGGTGGTGAAAATTGTATCTTACGTTTTATTTTGTATGTGGACGCGAGCTTTCCTAGCAATACACGGTTCGCTGTGAGGATACATGATGCCGAAATGCCCTGCGCCACTCGATCGTTCGCCGCTCGCTTGGAAAAGTCTTAATGACACGCTTTGGCCGCAAATAACACAAACACAAGGCAAAGGAACACACGACAAGCGAATATATATATACATATATATATATATATTTGTATATATACACACACACACACACACATATACGGAGCATGATAGTGTGGTGACACTGAAAGAAAAAAGCAGCTGAGAATGTCCATATCATTGCTATCGCAACAATAAAATAGACTAACGAGCCTGCTAAACTTTCAGCAACGGAGACACGCAGTGGTACAGCAACTTTGGTTAAGCTGAAGTGACAAGAAGCAAAACGAACATCTCTGGCATGGAGCGAGTAGAGGGCATCGGCAGCATAATAGAGTAGCTCAAGTTTAATTTGTTGCCAGACCAAGAATATTCTTAGCTTATAAATGGTTTAATGCCATGCAAACAGGAGGACTAGTAAACTCTGGTACAGTTGGCGCAAGCGGTATTTGATTATGTACAGCAAGATGCAGCAATATGCGATTGTCAAAATGGTGAAATTGGCACAGCTGAACAACCACTGTACATCTGATGCTGAACCTAAGGTGTAGTCCTGCGAGGGAACGCCCAGCGTCCCCGCTGGCTGGGAAGCTTGCACACGTGTGCGGCAATGTCATAACCGTGCAAGAAGGTGTACTTGCAGACACCGCACAGGAACGGCTTAAAAGTTAGATGCTGCATTACGTGTCTCAACACGTCTTTGTTCCCAACGACGACCGCGCACTCGCACAAAGGGCACTTTGTTCCTAGCTCCTCAACGTGCATGGCAATGTGGTCCTGCATTGAGATCCAATTTGAGCACATGTTTGAGCACAAGGGGCACTTGCGTGGCTGCAGCCACAGACACCTTCCCACGTGGCTCGTGAGATCCTGTATTTTTCGAAACTCTTTGAAGCAGTAGCTGCAGCGGTAGACATTTATTGTTGACCCTGCTTCCGCAGAGGGAGAGCTCCCCTCTTTGCCAAGGATGGTGGCAGTTTCTACCAGCAGTGCGCGGTCACCTCTGGGACATCGTTGCACCACTTTCCGTTTGGCCCTCACCAATTCCGCAGGGACTGGATCTGTCAGCGAAACAAAAGTGCCGATTTCAGAGCTTTGTGCTGCAAAGTTGCAATCACTATTATACTGTGCTAATTCATTTAACAAATTATGTTGTCTATATAATTGTCTATACAAGACGTGCAAGATAACATACCCAGGCTACATGCACAAAAATACCAAATAAGATGGATGGGAGGTTGGCCGCCACTGTAGCTCAATTGGTAATGCATATCACAGAGCTTATTTGAACCTTACAGGTTCTATCTCTATCGGCAGCAAAATGTCTTTTTGTCCACTTTAATTTCTTTACACTTATTTCATAATTGCTACACTAAAGCCTTACACATAATGTCCCGGACATGTTCCCTGGCTTTGCTTGTCTGTTGGCTTCATTACGTCATTCCTCGAAAAGCGAACAGGCCCTTGGCAGATTTCCCTTCTTTCGTTCGTTGTCTACATGCAAACCATTTGAAACCATCTCTATGGGAAGTCTACACAAAGGAAAGCAGTGTGGTACATGTATATAAGGACATAGCTAACTATTTTTATTATACTAAACACTGCCTCTTTACTACCACACCAGCTTCACCTGACCTCACAAGTTAGTTGATGCAAGCTTTGTTTCGAGCATTTCAATAACTATGCAAGCCAAATTTGGTTAACCTCAGCTAGCAATTTCATCAAACAGAAGGCTACTTCTGTTTCAAAGCTACGACCGGGAGTATTAACGATGTAAGCTGACTTGCGTGACGCGTTCTTTGCCAGTTGGAGCCTCTCCGTCAACTGGTGATACTGTAGGGAGATTTATACTTCTGATAGACTGCCGAGCACGCAATACCGCAGTACACCTCAAAACAGGAGCAAAAAAGTTGAAGGACACTTTGTAGAGTCTAAAGTGTGTTCAACGAAAGCCTGCACATGGCCTTTCGATTGACTATGCCACGTCCTGGCGCCCAGCAATGCGGCCAATCGCTGCTGCCACCTACTCTGCACTTCCCCAGCCTTGGCACTCGGTGACGCGGCCGCTCGCTGCTGCCGTCTAGGCTCCCCTTCCCTGGCCTTGGCACGCTCCCTTTCCCTGTCCTTAGCACCCAGTGATGCGGTTGCTCGCTGCCGCTGTCTAGGCTCCACTGCCCTGGCCTTGGCACGCTCCCCTTTCCTGGCCTTAGCACCCAGTGATGCGGTTGCTCGCTGCCGCTGTCTAGGCTCCCTTTCCCTGTCCTTAGCACCCAGTGATGCGGTTGCTCGCTGCCTGTCTAGGCTCCACTGCCCTGGCCTTGGCACGCTCCCTTTCCCTGTCCTTAGCACCCAGTGATGCGGTTGCTCGCTGCCGCTGTCTAGGCTCCACTTCCCTGACCTTAGCACCCAGTGATGCGGCTGCTCGCTGCCGCTGTCTAGGCTCCCTTTCCCTGTCCTTAGCACCAGTGATGCGGTTGCTCGCTGCCTGTCTAGGCTCCACTGCCCTGGCCTTGGCACGCTCCCTTTCCCTGTCCTTAGCACCCAGTGATGCGGTTGCTCGCTGCCGCTGTCTAGGCTCCACTTCCCTGACCTTAGCACCCAGTGATGCGGTTGCTCGCTGCCGCTGTCTAGGCTCCACTGCCCTGGCCTTGGCACGCTCCCTTTCCCTGTCCTTAGCACCCAGTGATGCGGTTGCTCGCTGCCGCTGTCTAGGCTCCACTTCCCTGACCTTAGCACCCAGTGATGCGGCTGCTCGCTGCCGCTGTCTAGGCTCCACTTCCCCGGCCTTGGCACCAAGTGATGCGGTCGCTCGCTGCCGCTGTTCTGGCTCCCCTTCCCCGGCCTTGGCACCCAGTGATGCGGCCGCTCGCTGCCACCGTTCTGGCTCCCCTTCTCCGGCCTTGGCGCCCAGTGATGCGGCCGCTCGCTGCCGCTGTTCTGGCTCCCCCTCCCTGGCCTTGGCACCCAGTGATGCGGCCGCTCGCTGCCGCCTCTTTCTTTCCGCTTCCCTGGCCCTTGCGTCCACTGAGGCTAACAATCGCTGCCGCCTCTTTCTTTCCGCATCCTTGGCCTTTGTGTGCGGTGATGCGGCCGCTCGTTCTCTTCGCTTCCGTTCAGCTTCCCTAGCCTTGGCGCCGGGCGACATGTTGGCCCGCAGCATGCGCATTCGCTCCCTCTTCTTCTGCCGTTTCATGTCAAGGGAATCCATATTCTTGGGGAGCTTCTTCGAACCATTGGCCATGCAAGTATTGCAGGATCGCTTGGGAGCCGTCCGGCTCGCTCGCCTGCTGCGACAAGGCGTCTGGTGAAGGATCGTTGCAGCGCCTGGCGACTCGTTGCCACTGCTCGATGCACACTGCTGAATCTATAAAAAAAACAAGAGCAAGCGATTTGGCAGAGTGCTTAAAGGGTTAACAGCACACTGAGGAGAGAAAAATATATCTTTATATTAGTAAGCAACTTTTGCGTGATACCACAAACAGCACGCTTGCTGCGAGAAGATGCTAGGTAAATGAGAAGACGTGCAAAAAGAAAATGCAGGTGGTAAGGCCACCCTAAAGTTCTAGTGCCCATTGCCATGAGGCCGTAGATTTTTATGGCAACTACAAAGACCTGCGTAACATACAAGTGGTAAAATTGAAGTAAATTCTGTCCTGAGGCGGCATACAAAGTTTCATATTTCTTCGAGCCAGTGAGGCCAAAATAAAGATAAAACATTTTAAAACACGTAATGTGATTTGTGAGAATTCTGGCATTAAATTTTGAAAAGGAACACTGACCTCAATTTTAGCTCCTAATAATGAACTTATGATGGTGACATTAATGACAATAGATTATTTTAACGATAATTTATCAATCTAAACAAATTCATCGTTTCACTTAAATGCCCCTTTAAAGCAGGACCCTATGTAGATTTAGACTGATAAAATACAGTTGACCCAAGGCATACGAACTCAGGTATTCATTCATTTCATTTCATTTATTGATACTGTCCGCCCTTTGCGGGCAATTACAGGCGTGGAGTTGACTCCATATAAAACAGAAATACGCATAAGAGAAACATAAGAAAAAGAACCTTCACTACTGGAACACATCATTTCAGAGCACATACAACAAATATATCATAATGGCTAAGCATATAGTTTAAACAGAGAAGTTAGTGAAAAATAAAAAAAGAGATCATCACTGCCAAAATACACATCATATTTTGCGCATAATAAAACACATAATAAATATCATAGCCTAGTTACAAAGCACGTAATTCACACATATTCACAATCTTAGTCCATGATATCAGAGTGCACTATATGTTTTATTGCTTCAGAAATTCAGTAAACGATTTGATTTTCACAACCAAATCTGGTAACGAATTCCACTGCTGAATCGCCCTGGGGAAGAAGCTGTACCTGAAACAGTCATTATCTTTTTTTGGGGGCGGTATGTACATACTGTGTCTGTGTCTTTGACGTTTCTTGTGTTTTGATTTCAAAGTACCTGTCGTAGCTTAATGTGATTATGAACTATTATGAAAAGGAATTTCAGCCTTTCATATTCGGTGCGTTTTTGTAGAGGTAAGAGCTCTGCAAGTTTGCATAATTCGGTAGGTGAATGGAAACGACGGTATTTATTAAATATAAACCTAGAACTAAGTAGCTGTATTTTGTCAAGTTTCAAACAGTTAGTTTAGGTATAGGGATCCCACACTACTTTAGCATATTCGATTATGGGTCTTAGCAAAGTTTTAAAAACTAAAGTTTTAACTTCGGGAGAGGCACAGTGGACGTTACGTCTCAGGCCCCATAACACCTTGTTAGCTTTGAAACAAAGTTCCTCAACATGAAGATTCCAACGCAAGTCGGGTGTAAATATGAAACCTAGGTATTTATATTGCTTAGCCTGAGCAAGTTCGTGACCGTTAGTACTGTACGGATAACCTAAGAATGTTATTTTTTCTAGAAATGGACATAAAAACAGTTTTTGTTGGGTTAAGCTGCATTTTCCACTGATCACACCAGTTTTTAATTCTCTCTAAGTCAAGATTAAGTTCGGCCTGGTCGCTCGATGACTGTACATTTTTGTATAGTATGCAATCGTCAGCAAACGTTCTTATTTGGGTAGTAATACTTTTTGGCAGATCATTTATAAACACCAGGAACAAGAGGGGCCCCACGACACTACCCTGGGGCACCCCAGATACCACAGGCGATAAACCAGATTGGTGGTGCCCTAGTTAGACATATTGTTCTCGGCGTGCAAGATAGCAACTGAACCACCCGGTGAGGGCAAAAATTTTAAAGGTACTATCAATTTTAAGTAAGAGCTTATTGCGCGACACCTTATCAAAAGCCTTTGCGAAGTCTAAAAATATTATGTCAGTTTGACCACGGGTATTAATTGTGCTAGATAAGTCCTGTACAAGCTCAATAAGCTGAGTAACGGTGGATAACCCTTTCCTAAAACCATGCTGACAGGAAACAAATTATGTTCATCGAGATAGGTTAGCAAGTGCTTTGATACAATGTGCTCTAATATTTTTGAACAGGTGCTTGTAAGCGATATAGGTCGGTAGTTGCCAGCGTGATATGCGGAACTGCCTTTGTGTATGGGCACGATTTTTGCACGTTTCCAACACTTGGAAAAGTGCCACTATTAACGTATGATTGAAAAATTAATGTTAAAAATTTCGATGACCATTCGGCATATCTAAAAATGAATTCATTGGGAATATTGTCAGGACCAGGGCTTTTTTCGGTATTTATATGAAGCAAGAGGTTTAGAACGCCCTCTTCAGTGATACTGAATTATTTGCTATATTGAGCATTTGTTGAATCCCCTTGAACTTCCCATGCAAAAGTATGGAACTGTTGAATACGTATATCGAACTCCAGCAGACTGTAACAGTCAATATATGAAACGCTGCACCGTGTCGAAGCCCAGAAAGCGCATTTATTCTGACAAAGATTGATCATTTTTCAGCTGTGTTCTAACACGTTTTCGATCCCTCCTCATGCACAGCTAACAAGAACGAGGTGTAATTAATTGGTTGCACACCATTCGTAAGTGCAACAGCACGCGATGCACCATCTGCTCTAGGTTGTAGCACAAAAAAGAAAGAACAGCAAAAGAATGGCACTGTTCTTTCTTCTGCTCCTCTTCTTTCACAAAATATTTCTTGCGCCTCAGTCATCTGCACCAAGTATGCAACAACTTGCCCAAGTCCTTTTGTAACAGTGTTTCCAGCGAGGCCATTTGCCAAGGGCACCAAATCATATGAATACTAAGTGACTTGACGGCATCGCCGTCATGTGCGCAATCCTTTCCTTTGTTCGCGTGTGATGCCATGCGGGGCCGTAAAGCATGGCCTTTGAGATGGACAGCTGTTTTAGAATGCACATCACAGAGGCTATGCTTATTTCTTTATCTTCACTTGTTACTACAAAGCCCCTAGTGCCATTGCTAAGATATCAGTGGTGGAATACATGTTTGTTTGTTTGTGGACAGCATTTTCGACTTGTTTGCACTTCGTTATTGGCGAGTCTTCCATAAAGAGTCAAACTAAACATTGCATCGCTCGCAGCGATAGCAGTGACGACTGGTGCTTGGAACTACGTCAAGCAAGGCACCGCCGTGCACAGTTTCATCGTGGCTTTGGTGACAGGTGATGACTTAGAGTGAGCCATCCTAGTTGACAAAGGCGTACGGTGCCTCAGGTAAATTTTGCTACTTAATCTCATCTCTAGGTGCCACCTTGGATGGGAGTACAGAAGGCTACTTCGTAGGTACAGATGAGACGTTACTGTTTCTGACTGTATCGGTGCTGATATCATGGCTGAAACTGCCAGTGCTGCGGAAAAGGGCCCATTCGGTAATGAAGATGCTAACGATGCCGATAAAAATTTTACTGCACTACAGAACTTGCATCGGTGCTCACCGTCAGTCACCAGTGTGGTGGCTGAAGGTGCTGAATTTGCTTCTTTTGAAAGCTTCAATGCTCGATTAATGAGAATGACACGATGAACTTGACAGCTTATTGAAGTCAAGGCAAGTCTACCAAATATTTTCATGTGAAGTGTAGCAACATGCAGAAAAAGTTGTCATCATTTTCTTGAGTATACTATAAGTGAATCATCATGTTAACGCTTATAGTGATTTCTGAAAGCGATTTCAAGAGTTAAAATGCATCAATATCAACTTTGTATACGCATACTTCTTATTATGAATTATCGATATATCGAACTATTTCGCGGCTTCCTTTGACTTCGATACATTCAGGATCGACTGTATTCTGTGAGAAGTGTATTATCATTTATCTGCTGCAAAAGTAAGGTAGTTGCAGTGCTCGGATACCAACTCAAATGTTGAGAGTTAGAACCCAGCTACACCGGTCACATTTTGATGGAGCTACAATGCTGGGCTTCGTGCATCATGCAATGTCTGTGCATGTTGAACATCAGATGGATGAAACTTTCAGAGCCCTCCGATTCAAAATGCCTCTTATTCATATCATGGCATCACTCAAATATTACTGAGAGAATCGTATTGTCATTAATTTTGCTATAAGATGCTATCTGAAAGAAAAATAGGTCAAGGTTTCATTTCTGGGAGCTGAAACCACATTATAATGTCGTGACATCGGTGTGACATTCAGACTTCTTTACCCATTTTGCAAACATCAAATTTTCATACACTTGCTTGCTAAGCATCTCCTAACACGTCTACTATTGCTCAACATGTAGTCCCCTAGAACACATGTGAAAATGCCATTCTCATTAGCCTCCCGGTAGAATTTCAACCAACACCCTGGTGCAGCCTCATCAAATGGCAGTACAGGGACATCACGAAATGGGCATGCCATAATCTCACCCACTTATCTAGTGCATCCAAATAGTGCTCCAATCCTTCCCCTAAATATGCAAATAAGTCTTCCTGGAAATTAGTTGCATGGAGGCTCCAGAAACAACAGCCCCGTTTTGCAGCAATAGCGATCGTCAGTTGCCCGCATTTCATTTTTACAGAACTGACTGTCACTCGCTGCTTTTCTGCTAAGAATGCCCTGCAATGCTGAGATGCCACCTTGATGTATGGAGTTTCATTCGCAGCGAGGCAGGGCCAGTGGCGACACTTTTTGCGGGACAGAAGATGCCCAGAGAAGTTCAGCCGTATTTAAAGTGTGTGTAAATTAATTTCGTCACTAGCCCGATTATGCTGATTCAAGATCAAAAGACTCTCCCTCGTTTGCTCAATTAACACAAACCTGTGCTTGCGGCGACCGAATTATGACCGTAAGTTCTTTAATTTCGTCTGCCACCGATGGAGCCATAGAGCGCAGTGGACCAAGAAATATCGCAATATCTCACACGAGCATGCGACAAGAAGCTCATATCATGTTGCAATGTCAGGTTATAATAAGAACCGAAACTAGCTTAAATAAATATCTATAATTCTGAAAACATGTAAACATGTTGCCTTTCATTTGACGCACAATAACAGCTGAACACTTTCACGTTAGTGCCTTTCTGAAATGCTCACCATACCACTTATCCATCGAAAAGCACTTACCTTACATACTTGACCACTATGTGATGCAGTTGTTCCGGAGCCCTTGTTGCGAGGCCATAGTAAGCCTTGCGCAAATGGTACTGGAGGAAACAAGAGGAAGAAAATGCTGTTTCTCTGTTCTGTCACTGCATGCACGCGAAGGCTGAGAGCTAAGGTCAGGAACTTCAGATACGATGTCTTTTGGGAGGATGAGGCCCTTGTCAAACTTAGTGTTCTTTTGAGCAAGAGTACTTGTGTCCGCAGACTGTCACCTTGTTGGCATGCTGCTACAAATGAAAGGAGAGTGCGCTTTGGAAATTACCGTAACCAAGACAGGTAACCAAGTTGCACAAGAGATACTTGTTCTTAAGTGACAATTTGCCACAGCTGTAAGCAGCCCTAATAATTGCTTCAGGTACGAATGTGATGGATGCTGCCATCGCACGGCTTATGCTGGCATTGCCCATGGTGGCCACGGCTGTAACTGCCTGACCACAAGAACTGACAAGTAGACTTTTTGTGGTATCGCATGCTTTAATGCATAACAATATTTTTATTAATGAAAATTGATTGATTTGTACGGTTTAACGTCCCAAAACCACCATATGATCTATGAAAGACGCCGTAGTGGAGGGCTCCGGAAATTTTGACCACCTGGGGTTCTTTAACAGTGCACCCAAATCTGAACACACGGGCCTACGACATTTCCGCCTCCATCGGAAATGCAGCCGCCACAGCCGGGATATGAACCCGCGACCTGCGTGCGGGTCAGCAGCCGAGTACCTTAGCCACTAGACTACCGCGGCGGGGCTTATTAACGAAAATAATGCTTGAAGAAGACTAAGCTGAGCTAGCAATAAGCACTGATTTTTCGAGGCACTGCTACCACAGCTAGACACACTGTCGCTGCAAAGTGAGTTGAACTCGCTTTTTGCCAAGTGAGCTCTGCAGCTTTTTCCCATGGGACAGCATGCCTCTAAACGTGCCAGCTGCCATCCGCATCTCTCAATCTGGTCTGCTCCCACTAAGGCTCCAAAAACCACTACAAACAGCCCCAGCAGTGAACAATTTTCCCAGCTGGGGCAAAGCCCCCAGAGATTGGGGCATGTCTTAACGCATCTGACGAAGAGAGATGGTGGGATAAAAAGCAAAAATTGAGAAAGGGAAGTAGCAGGACAGAAAGCCATGCACCCTCCATATGCCACAGAGGCATTGATGTCACAACTAGTTCCGACGTACAGCTGCTACAAACCGACACACATCCAAAAATACAGCCAACTGTTGGTAGATGAGAAAAACCGACACGTGTATTGGAACAGTCGAGTCTTCAGAGTAAAGCTTCAATGTCCTTGTCATTTTTACCTATTTTTGGTTGGTGTCCCTTTAAACACAACTTTGACAATTGGTGTCAGTACCAAATTAACTCCACAAGTCGGGAGCAACTGAGGCATATGTAACCAGCGAGGTCACTGAAATATTCCGAACACTTACCCTTACGCTTTTCTTTAGCATCGGCGATGTCCTGCAGATCTTTAAAAAGATCGGAGGTATCGGTACACCGGTGAATCCTGATTGGAACTACTGATGCTTCCGAGGACTTGCACAAATCTAGATTGGAGATTCTTGGTGTTCCAACAGCGACATTCTACACCCCGCCTCGACTGGCCGCAAAGACTCTGCCTGTTCTTGCGTTGATTTTGGGCATGTGCTGCTGTACAGAGATTCGTCCATTTTGACCTAGTTAGATCGAGATACAAGAGGTGAAGAGGTAGGAGGTTTTGGGAATACAGGTCATGGACGTTTTTAAAGGGACAAGTTCAAGTGGCGATCTCTCTGGAAGTGCAATCACAAGGACATCTTTTATGCTTTACATGCTTTCGCTTTTAGGCGTAACACGGAGCAACAGACGTAACTACCTGCATCACATCAGAGTTGCGAAGACCATGGTCAACTGTGAAGCACGTGCTGTCACACAAGCGATATTGAAGGCCTATTTATTGAGTCAATAGTGTATCGAGTCAACAGAGCACCCCACACCTCCGTTGAAACTTTAATAGCTATTGAGCAACGTAAGCAGAAACAGTACAGACATCAAAAGGTTGACAAGACCACGTTGCCACAGTTTCACTGCTCAAGAACCTTATTGGGCCCCTCCCCTACCAGGCCCCATAACAAATTCTAGCTAAACGCCGGCGGTTGTTGTGTGTTCGAAGAAGAGCATTATGCCGCTTGAGTTTTTTCAATTGATCCATTACGGGCTGAGAAAACCAGTATTTTAAAGTGGCATGAAACCATGATGAGAGGAGGAAAGCTCGAAATTCTTGCCGCACACCCCACGTAGCTTTCACAATCCAAATCTCTTCCCTACTCTTTTTGGCATCCTAGCAAATGGTCATGCCCATGATGTCCTCAATCAAGCCCAAACCGCCAGCATTTTAGCGGCGTTGCTTCGTTGACCAGCGTTATTTAGTGGTCTACTGCCTATTTCTGTGGGATAGATGCCTCGGTGCGCGCTCGTTTGGAAATGCTGGCTTAGGCCTCGCAAAATAGATTAGCATATTGAGTGCTCAAATGCGCAGGACCATTAATTTCGTTTCCAGAGCTGGCGGCTGCTCGATGTGCTAGCCGCAGGGACACAAATACATGCGCATTATTCCCGCATCTCGTAGCAATTCACGGCAAAAAAATTCGAAAAAACGCACCCAATTTTTTTGTCTCATTATTTATCTCGAACAAGTTACACAAACTACACATTGAAGGAAAGAAGTGCAAACTTGAGGGCTCGTTTTCTTTCGTCAGGCACAGTATTAATGAGAAGTAACAAGCGATGATGCCAAGTAAAGTATAGAGAATAATATTAGAAATAAGTTTAATGTATATGTGAAGAAAGAGAAGTGGATAAAAAGATAACTTGCGTGGGCAGGATCCAATCTTGCGACCATTGAATAACGTGTTCGATGCTCTACTAACTGATTTACCACGGCGGCTATCCCTCCATTCACTTTATTGGGTATGTATGTGCATTAAACGTGGCAGCCTCCGTCAGCACCGCCTGTTGCCATTACAGCGAGTGTAGGCCACTCATTTTTTGCCTATTGGTGTCACGTAGTACATTATCTTATTATGAGCAAGCATAACCAATAAAGTCGATGGAGAGATAGCTGCCATGGTAGCACAGTTGGTAGAGCACAGAACGCAATATACGAAAGTCTCAGGTTTGGATCCTGCCCACTTTTCTTTCTTCACATTTATATTACGATTACTTCTAATAATATCCCCTATACTTTCCTTGGCATAATTGTGTGTCAGTTCTCATTAATAAACTACACACTGTGCTATGTGTGTTTACTTCTAGGCCCACGAGAAACCTGAGCCGACGGCGGAGAGCTGGCGGCAGCAAGTCCGGGAGGTATACTTTAAAATGAAGACACTCTCACACTGAAGCCATACACATCAGTTGTACATTTCTCAACTTCCGCGAACACTTCAAAGAAGGTGTTGAAGAGTTCGTCACAGGGCTACACCGACTGGCCCAGTTGTACAATTTCGGAGAATTGCATGACAATTGATCCAGGATCGGATAGTAGTAGGCATCAGAAACCGCAGGCTATCAGAAGAATGCAGCTAGACGCGGAGCTGACCCTCGAAAGGGCCATCACTGTGGCTCGACAGTCTGAAGTCATTAAGAAACAAGCTGCTGTGCTGCACTGGCTACAACGAAGGGAAAGTGGATAGTCACCCTGGCTCATACTCCAACTGTGCCTCAAGAAAAGCAAAAGACGCCTGCAATGCAAGCTGAAGAGCCTCCTGAAGTCGATCGAAGCAAAGCAGTGTACGTTCCGTGGCTACTCGCAACACACTACAGAGAGGTGCCCTGCACGAAATTCGATATGCATTAAGTGCCATCAAAAACGACATTTTACTCGCGTCTTCAAAAGAAGAGCATCAGTTTGCGAGATCATTGGTAAGGATGACGCATTTCTCGGAGCCATCTCACCCAGTTGGAACAAATGTATGGCTACAGTGTACATTAATTGGTCGCCTGTCACCTTCAAAGTGTATACATACAGGAACAGAAGTAACCGTGATTCCTCTCTAAATGTACGACAGAAATTTCGAGGATCCGCATCTCCAGAAGCCAGATAAAATCTTGAGGGGACCCAACCAGTGGGAACTTCCTGTCTCTGGCATGATTACGGCAGTGATACAAAACTGCAACTCATGATTGAAAGGAAGTATCTGTATTGTGGATGGTCTTCAGATGCCTCTCCTATCAACGGTGGCTAGGGAAAACTAGGCATTGTGAAACACCTTGATCAAGTCATCAGCCAAAAGGCGAAGCTATGAACCCAGAAGGTGAGGTTGCTGAACTATTTACCAGTCTTGCCAAAATAAAGCTTGCATACAAGAGCAAGCTTAAAGAAGATGCTGTACCGCTAGCACTGACCACTCGTCGAAAAGTTCCCATACCGTAATGTCGTGAATAACATGAATGACATCCTGAACTATGGCATGATGCAAGCAGAGCACAATGCTCATCTCAGAAAGGTTCGGCAAAGATTACTAGAAACATAGTGTCACGTTGAACCACGATAAGCGGGAATTCGAAGTAGAAAGGGTAACATTCTTGGGACAAATCGTTGATAACAATAAAATTCATGTTGGCCCTTCGAAAGTACAGGATATTATTGACATGAGACCCCTTTCAGACACTCAAGAGCTGAGAAGGTTTATGGGAATGGCAAACTGCCTAAGGAAGTTAGTTCGGAACATGTTGGAAATAGCTCATCCCATGAATGGTCTTCTAGACAAAAAGCGAGTGGGTATGGGCCTCAACCCAACAGAAAAGCTTGGAATAGATATGAAAAAGCTTTCTGAAAGACCAGTTCTGTCAGTATTCGATTCGGAGTATTTAGTTGTAGGTTCGACGGATGTCTCATTGTTTGGATTGGGTGCTGTTCTGCGATAGTAGCTGAAAGATGGCGTCCACAGACTTGTTGCGTACTCTTTTGTAGTCTGTCAGAAACAGAAAAGCAAGTACACACATATTGACAAAGGTCATGCTGGGAGAAGCTGCATACAATGCTAGAAGCATAACTGCCAACTTCCGTGAACTGAGAAGGAACCTGATGGCTGTGCCTTCCACCAGTTCATGAGAGAATAGGGTCTTCGTACATGTAACATCGAGCCCCAGTTTTCCACAAGGCAATGGTTTCGTTGAGGCTGCTGCGCGGATCATAAAGAAGAGCCTGCAGAAAGTGGGTGACAGTTACGGCGATGTTCAGGTGTATAGAACCATGCCACTAACAAATGATTTAGTCCCGCGAAATCGTTGATAGAATGGCATCTCAAAACGCCTCTCCCTGCGGCATGTAGTTCAATGGAATCCACCATGGTAAGTAACTAAGCAAGCTTTTTCAGGCCTGGGAACAGGGGCATACAACTGAGCAAAAGAATAATAATCACAAAAGGCTTGGATCTCGAATCTTTCTTGAGATTTACAGTCAGGAGAGACAGTGTGGATAAAAAAACAGAACAAGACTGGAACGGTACTTTCTTCGGCAGGGTATCCGAGGCCTTATGTTGTGGAAACAGACTCAGACCAATAGAGAAGGAACAGATTCCACTTCGCCCCAGTGCCTGAAATCGAGAAACGCCCACTGCACAAGTCAACGCCCAGTTGAAACCCGCAAGCCTCACCAAACGTGAGCAGTCATAAAGCGGGAGATGTGCCAGGTTAAGGGAACAAAACGTAACCAGAAACAGGTGAACCTCAAGATGACTTATCTTCCCTTCATAGAGCTACAAGACGGGTGGTCAATCTTGTCCAGCGGTACTAAGCAGGAAGCTATGACGGCGAGAGGTGCTGTGTGTGTCTACCTCTAGGGCATGAGAAACCTGAACCGACGGCGGAGAGCCGGTTGGTGGCATGCGGGACCCGCCCGCCCGACGGAAGACTTACGGGGATGCAAGTTGGGGAGGGAAACTCAAAATTAAAGCAACCTTCAGACCGAACGCCATGCTTGTGGGTTGTACGTTTCTCGGCCTCCACGAATACTACACATGTCATGTGAAATAATTTTCCTTGCGTCACGTGGCGACGTCAGAGCACAGCCGTCACAGCACTATCGTCTACGTAGGGCAATTCCTACATCTATGTCATGCCCTCATTCTCTGGGCGTGCGCCCATGAAAGGAAGGGCAAGCACCACTCATCATGAAATCTGCCTCGTTTACGCAGCACGTAACGTTGCAAAGTGCGGCAGATGTAAAGGCGAAAGCACGTATGCCTCGTGCTAGTCAGCACGAGGCATACTTGCTTTAAAACATTTCAATTTATTGAAATGTTTTTAATGGAAATGATAGATGCATGTGTGTTTTTTAGGTACATCTATATTATTTCATTTACAGTGACATGAAATTGAAAATAAGTTCTTGCAGGGCTGTGCAATTTTTGCGAGAAACACCTGAACCACTCAACTGCTACTGAAAACTTGTAAAGCAATGCAACAACTGTATTGAGTCTATGGAGCTGCGAAGTTTTGATGGCCGTCGACTCGATGGCCTTTCAAAACGACATGTGTGAAACACGTAAAGTTCATCCTCCTCGGTTACGTTCAAGCTTAGCTAAAACACATTGGGCACCTGGTGCGACGCAAGTGAAACAATCGCATGTGTATTTACCGTCGCCAACACAGCCCGCTAGGAGCAGGTGTCTGCAGACATCATGGCGATGCTAGCGCCGCCTTCGTCGGACACTCTGCTTTCTCGTGTTGATGCGGCGGCACTCGACAGAACACCTGTATACTACCATTGGCACTCTTTTGACGATACCTGCGAACAGGGAAGGCAACTAATTTTTCTGAGTCACATTCTTCGAGTCGCGAACAGGCTACGGTTGAGAGCTTGCTCGCCATTGATTAGGCGGCCGGATGTTTACATCACGTGGTCTATACAGTTGAATGTACTGCTGAAAGAGTAGAACACTGAAAACTAACTGCTACACCATGAGGCGATGCGAAGCAGCGCAGGAGGTGCGCACCGCGTTACCGACGTCAGACAGATTAGTCACACGTTGCAGCCGTGCATGAAGCTCCGGTCGAGGACTTCGCGCTGGAAGTGGGTGTCGGCACCGTCGAAGCCTGGGCGTTGAAGTTGTCGAGCGAGGCATTATGAACGGGCGTTGAACTCGTGCTGGCTCGACGCTGACGCTTGGCTTTGACAGCCTCGACATCAGCGTTGCGTACGGCGGGGTTTGTTTTCCGACGCTGCCAGATAACACCTGTACGCATCCGTTACCTTTCAGCATGTCGAGCCCCCGTTTCTCGCGTTTCATCCGTACCATGCATAGAGAGATCACTCTGACCCAACGCTTCCTAGATTTCCCGCGCCTGCCGGATTATCGGCGGTCACTTGGGAAGCGGCGGCCGTCGGAACTACAGTGGTAGCGCCACTCAAGTAGGGATGTCTTCAAATAGATTTTTTACGTTTTTGAAGCTTATATGCAACAAAAATAACGTTAAAAGGTTTTAAAAGGCGGAAACGTATAAATTATTTCTACCTAGGTGACTTTGTCAGTGAGCAAACACATTTTTTAATGCAAGACATCCTCTGAAATTAGTATCAAACGCTAAAATTGCCAATCTTAAAGGCCAAGTGCAAACATCTTTGGGTGGGTGGATGGATATGACTGTACCCTTTAGATTGGGTAGTGGCTAGCGCCATTAAGCCGTAATACCTAATGAACCAAAAACTAAATTCATTTTGTTTTTTTCTTTTAAAAAGTGAGGCTGAGGATTCGTACTTTGCCGAGAAGCGTTCAATTTTCACTCGTGCCTTGACTTTAGCCACCAATCAGATAACCTCCTTCTAGTTAAGTCTACCCGCTTAAAGTCTATTTTGCCCTCCCTGTCCCTAAACCCAACTGCTTTGAAAAACTCTACGTCATCATGCTAAACTATAGGGCGAAGCCCTTTACAGAACATTATCAAGTGTTCGGCAGTTTCTTCTTCCTCTCCACACGCACTGCATACCGTGTCTACCCTTTGTATTTGGCCCGATATGTCTTGGTTCGCAATACTCCCGTCCTGGCCTCAAACAGTAGAGAACTACCTCGAGTATTATCATAAATCGTTTTCTTGGCAATTTTCTGCTTAAAAGTTTGATAGACCTCTCGTACGGGCTTCTTAATCATGCCAATTCTGCACATATCGGTCTCAGCTTCCTTCACCTTCTTCTTAACTGATAATTCTTTTTGGTTTAGCCCCCTGCTGTTTTCTAAGTATTTACCAGTCAATTTTCTGGTTCGCTTCCTTCATTTTGTATCGACATTCTTCATGTAAAAGTAGCTGAATACGTTCCTAGCCCAACGCTCCTCCCCCATTTCTCTCAATCGCTTCTCAAATTTTATCTTGCTGCTAGCTTCCCTGCCCTCAAATGATGTCCATCCCATATTACCTTGTACTCCCTGATTTGGTGTATTCCCGTGAGCTCCTAAGGCAAGCCTACCTATTCCACGTTGCTTAATTTCCAATCTTGCTTGAACTTCTGTGGCGCAATTATGTAAAAGTTCCAAATCCGGACAAAGGCGGTCTCTTCCATTGAGTCGCACGCGATTGGCCCATACAAGCTGTGACGAATGCTGTGACGTTATGAGTGACGTGAACTGAGGTGTCACGTGACTCTTTCTTTTTGGTTTTCGGAGAAAGGCGAAGGAACGGTCGGAGAGACTGTCCGAAAGCAACCGGATGGATTGAAATGGCTGCAAGGTGGCCTGGATTGGATTGAAATGGAAAAAAATGCGCGACTTTTCGGCACCGGGGCACTTAGACAACACGGCGTTTCCCACTGACACGGTACTTCGCCGTGCCTGTGCGGTAGCTTTAACCGAGCAGAGGCGACGACGCGAGGTAAAAGATGCATTTGAAGAGTTCAGCGAAGAAGAGTTCCGGCAATGTTTTCGTCTGTCCAAACGAACAGTGCGTAGCTTGTGCGACGAACTTGACCCTATCATCGGATGCCAGCGAGCCAGTGGCCTTTCCACAGAGAGAAAGGTGTTGTGCGCGTTGCGATTTTTCGCCACCGGTAGCTTTCAGAAGAGCATTGGTCGCGAGGAACACATCGGCATGTCTCAGCCGGCGGTGAGCAACACCATCCACGAGGTGACGGAGGCGATCATTACCGTGGCTGCTAGAAAAAGGGTGGCGGACTTCCTACTGACAACAGCTGCTAAGGATGAGGCAAAGGTGGAGTTTGTGCTACGCGGTTGCATCCCAGGGGTGCTGGCGTGTGCCGATGGCACGTTGATCACCATTCGCAAGCCAGAGGGATTCAGACTGGCCGACACGGCGAGCTTCATGTCCAGAAGGGGCTATTATGTCCTGAACGTCATGATCGTAAGTACTGTTAGGATCGTTTATTACTCGCCCTTCGGAGCAATTGTTCAGTTGTGACGCCAAAGCTGAAAAAAGTAATAATGCAACGAATGAAAAAGAACACATGATACATAAGTCCATATCTTCTCATAGTGACTGACTACAAGCATTCAATTGTGCACGCCAGGCTTCACGAGCAATTGTGCTCGTCAAGTTGTGCTGTTTTTTTGCTCATTGTCCTAAACATTGTGTGAATGTTAAAATAACATTTAATTTGAATTCACGACTGCAGTCATGCTGCAATGCTAAAAAATACGCAAATCAAGACGGCAAACAACAGACGAGTTGATAACATACAGCATGAATAATTCGCTCAGCCATCTCGTGGCTCCCAAACCATACCACGTTCGAAATTAATTCCCGCAAAGAGTCGTTTACAATGAAAACTAGATGAAATCAATCGCTGGCATGCTGCTGTGATGACCATTTTCCTTTGTGAAACTGTGCGAGATGACCACTTACTAGCTTAGCGCTCCCAAACAAGATTCAGAATGTAGTTGTTGCATCTTAGCCTCATTGTGCTGAAATGAAAATATCACAGTGAACTGCAAAACAGTGTGATGCAAAAAGATATCACATTACTACACTATGTGGTAATGCTGAATAAAAATCACAGTGAGCTAGAAAACACAGTGGGACAATACAAATATCACAGAAACATTAACAGAAAATGTCAACTGTACACTCGTGGTCTCCGTGTGTATGACTAGACACCTTTGAAATGTGGGTAAAAAACACTGTCACTAGAACAGCTCGAACATACATTGAGAAATGCATAAACATTGAGAAATGCATATATCGAACATAAAAAGTGCTGCACTCCTTGTACAAAGTAAATGCTAACCTAAATCTAGTAATATGTACTAAATGCAAACCAAAAACGAATAAAATAGAACATGAACAGCAACACGTAAACATATCAAAAACACTAAACCAATTGTGAATGATAAAAAGTTGAAAACATGGCGAAAAACAAACTAAACTATGTATATGTCTCCCGAAGCGTATAAAATTGAACATGAACAGCAGCACCTAAACACATTGAAACCGACAAATCATTAATGAATGATGACAAGAAAAAACATTGAACACATGACGAAAAATTAAACTAAACTACGTATCCCTTTCTCGCAGAAAGCCCTCAGCCATGGCCAGTGCCCTCCTGCACCGCTGCCGCCTTCTCCTGTGCCGCTGCCACACGCCGTGCTGCAGAAGCGATGCGGGTGGTTGATTTTTCATCTCCCACAGCACCTGCGATGAATCGTCATGGTGTAAATGTTTAAGTGAGGTGCCGGTAAACCCTTAACCATCTCTTGGCTGGAAGCTGCTCCTGCTGCCAAGAATTCAACGGGCACAACAATTTCCCCTCAGTTGAAGATCAACTGGCCTGACGGCATCCTTTGAAAGCGGGAAGCTTTGTGTACAAGCCATGCCCTCCTCGTGCAGACCTACAAACATTTGTTGAAACTGCTCTTTATTAATGTCCTCAAATACATTATTAATGTCCTCAAATACAAAGAGCCCCAGGGCTAATCAACCTTTTGTCCGGCAGTTTATCATTGCAGATACCCGATACTATGCCCTCAATACAATGCATGGTTCTTGTTTACAGCCCAAGTTGGTTTCAGTCATCATAATAGAACATGGAGAATGCTTATGCCCCTTATGTAAAATGTAAACAAAGGGTCTACTCACCTTGAGCACCTTGTTGCCCTGCTCAAGGTTCCAGTCCTGCACTCAATAAAGCACTATGTTCTCAGATGCTTGCGTGTTACTGTGTCACTGGCATCTTCAGCCGCTTCAGTGGCCTCCACATCCATTTCCACTGCAGCAGTGGGAACATTCGCCTGCTGGAAAGTGTAGTAAGCATGATCTTTCAGAAAGTGGGTATTCGTTACTCTGGCTATTTTGCAACCTTAAGTACTAAACATCTGCGGAAATGTTCTGCAGCTATTCAGTGGTCATTGATGTCATGTATTACCATTTTAGTGCATGCACTTGCCCGCAGTCATAGCGTGTTTTATGATAAATTAATACCCCTTGTACTGCAAGGGCTGCAAAGTGAGATTTTAGTTAAACCTACCCACTTTTGATTACTTTCTCGTGCGCTTTATTTCCGTTTAACAAGGTTCCGCTAAAGGCACCCTTTCAGATATCAAACCTTGTCATGGTACCGCTCAGGAACCCGTGATACTGCGGCGGCAGAGTGCTTACCTGTTGATAGGTGATACCAAAAACACCACTGAAGCGTGTCATCCCGGTGAATTGTAGAACCCGGCCGCGGAAGCCAGGCAGCCAACCCCCTCCAGTGCCCCTAAAAATATACACTAATGTCACAGAACAAATTGCCCGTGCCATTCGACGGTCACTCACGTTTGTGCGTCTCTGATGGCGGCGGTGTCACGGCGGGCCTCGTGCACCGGCCTGCGCCACCAAGCCTGCCATTCCTGCGCAGGCACTTCATGGTTCAGCGCGTCGCTGAGCTCTTGCCATAGCCGCCACCGGTCGGTGATGGTGACGCCGTGACGCAGCTCGATGGCATTCGCCACGAGCTGGGGATGTTCGTCCATAAAGGCGAGCACCAGCGCGCGCTGAGCCTCGGATAACGCCGATGAGCCGCTGCTGCTGTTCACTACTGGTACAGTTGACCTCCGCCACGATTGCGCTCGACTGAGCCAACAACTTCGAAAGTTGCGCCGTTTAGGTTTGTATAGTGGGGGAGATACAAAAACAGTAACTGCTTGAAACGGGGTTGTACTTAGCGCCACCACGTACCGTCCCGCTAAATTTAGCTTTATTTCAAAAAAATAACGAGAAAAATACGTTTATATTGTGCCGTATTCCTCAATAAACGTTTGAAAACTTGTGCCAACACAATTTCATAATGACCAATAGTAGTTTAACATTTTTCAACACGTTACAAACACTTTTTACTTTGCTATACGGTCCCCAAGTCCACGTCAAAATGATGACGCGAGGCTTCATTTCGCCCATTGGCTGTTCACTTCCCTTCGTCCTCGCGACCGCTGCGGACCGCCCATTTTTTGACGTCACCGACAGACCGCCTCCGTCCGGATTTGGAATTTGTATATAATTGCACCACAGCTGATCTCATGCACAAGACCGCATTGCCGAACGTCAGACCAGGAACCATGACCCCTTTCTATATTCCTCTGACAACATCATACCTATTGTAATTCCACAGTGCCCTGTTTTTCATTACCGCTGCATTCCTGTTACCTTTAGTCGCCACATATATTTCGTGTTCCCTTAGGTACTCGGCCCCATTGCTTATCCATACGCCCAGATATTTGTATTTATCTGTTATCTCTAGCGTGGCCTCCTGTATTCTAAGCTCACTACCTCCATTGTCAATAAAAATCATAACTGCTGATTTTTCCTTACTGAATCTGAAATCTAACCTATCTCCCTCATTACCGCAGATGTCCACCAATCTGCAAATCTACCCCTGCGTAGGCAGCACTGTCATAAATGACTGGCGTTTCGCGCTCATCCGGCAGGCACGGGAAATCTAGGAGGCGTTGCTCTAACCACTCCAACCATGCATCCGTTTTCCTTCCTCTATGCTACAGTGTCTAGTACACTGTACCTATGCTTTCGGCCGACGTTGCCGTTTCCGCTGGGCTTCCCTAGCCCTAGAACTATGGTCCCTAGATGAAACCTGTTTTATCTAGAGACCTATCTAAAAGCGGACAATTGCGCTTCGGCGCGTCGAGCCTTCCGCTGCTGTGCGATGGGTTCGGCTGGCGCCAACGTGCACCGATATAGTATCGCGGCATTAGTGCAAAGCTGTCATATGTTATCAGGTCAAGCGACCAGGCATATAACCCTTCACTCAACCCAGGGCAGTAACTAGGGGGGAGTCGAGGCAGTTCCCACATCCCACGTAATTGCTTTTTCATGCTTTAACTTTTAGGGTGATACTATGCGTATACACATGCCTTAATTCAAATCAACCACCAGTTCCATAGCTGACCATAGCTGGCTTTCCCCCCCTCCACCCAGAAGCTTTGGGTATGGCCCCCCTCAACCCAGGAAGCTTGTTCATGCGAGGACGTAATGTGTTTTCAACAATTTCTCACATTTTCATGCAATAGTTAACCTGTGATGACTTGCGGACACTGCACATGAATGGCTTAAAGGTGAGATGACGCATTATGCTTATTAACAAATTTCAGTTCACAACAGCAACTTCATGCCCACACAAGGGGCACTTTATTTCTATGTCCTGGATGTGCATGGGGATGTGGTCATGCATTGAGGTCCAGTTTGAACACACGTTTCAACACAAGGGGCACAAGTGAGCCTGCAGCCACGGACACATTTCCACATGATTGGTGGGGTCCTGTATATCCCAAAACTCTTGCAAGCAACAGCTGCAGGCGACTCTCGGTGATCCTGCTGCTGCAGAGACAGAGCTTTCCTTTTTGCGAAGGACGGCGCCAGTTCCCACAAGCATTGCACGGTCATCTCTGGGACAATGTTGCCCCACTTGATGGTTGGATTCCGCCAACTCTGTAGAGACTGGAACAACTGGCAGCGAAACAAAAGTATAAATTTCAGAGCTTTGTGCTGCAAAGTTGCAATCATTAGAATACAGTGCTTGTTCATTTACCAAATTATGTTGTCTATATAATTGTAGATATCAGAGGTGCGAGATAATATACCCAGGCTACAGGCACTGAAATACCAAGTAAAATGGAGGGGTGGACGACCGCCACTGTAGCTAATTTGGTAGCACATATTGCACAGCTTATCCGAAGATTGTAGGTCCTATCTCTACCAGCAGCAAAATATCTTTTTTGTGCATAAAAACACACTACAATAGAAAAGGACACCAAGAAGAAAGAACACTAAAGAGATCGAGCGCGATGTCTTTTTGTCTACTTCAATTCCTTTAGAGTAGGACCATAATTGCTGCAGTACATTTATAACGCTACACATAATGTTCCCAACGCATTCCCTTGCTTTGCTTTTCTGTTGGCTTCATTTCTTTGTGTTTCACAAAGAAAACAGGCCCTTGACCGATTCCCCTTCTTTCCTTTATCGTCTACACACAAGCCATTTGAAACAATCCCTATGGAACGCCAACAAATAGTTAAGTGGGGCAGTACGTGTACATAATGACGTAGGGAGCTTTTCTTGTTATACTAAATACCGCCACTTTAGTACGGCACTGGCTTCACCTGACCTCGCAAGTTAGTCAATACAAGCTGAATCATACAGAAATTTTTACTAGATGCTTCAGAAAAAAAATAGCTTGTTTTCAAAGTGGTAGCAATACTCACTGCGGAAGCACGTGTTTGTTGCCATCGAATGTTCAACTTCAAGGCCCCCATGCGATGCTCAATTCTACTGTATTAGAACTTCCCCGAATTTCCTTGACTGTAACACCAGTCTGAAGATGTAATCAATCACGGGTGCATTGATTCACGTTTCGCAGTTCCAATGCGTGCTGTACCATTGCAGTGCCGGGGCTACTCCGATGCCCCCACGCACACGAGGGTGCCCCTAGCGGTTGCTCCTGTCCCTAATCACACTTTTGCTGAAGCTTCAGGACCATGAAATGTACTAAGGGAGTGGTTTCCGTCCACCGGTGAATCCTGATGGGAACAACTGATGCTTGCGAGGACTTGCACAAGTTTTGGTCAGAGATTCTTGGTGTCTCAACAGCGACGTCCACACCACGTCTTGAGGGCTGCGATGACTCTGCCAGTTTTCGCGACGATTCTGGACATGCGCTGCTGTTCAGAGATTCGCCAATTTCGACCTGGTCAAATGAACGACAAAGGTCAAGGGGTAAAAGGTAAAAGACATGTTCAAGTGGCAATCTCTCTGTAAGTGCTGTTACAAGGACATCTATGTTTTGCATGCTTTCCCTTTCAGGAGCAACATTGAGCAACAGATGCAATACTTGTGTCACATGGGCATTTGGAAGGCCATCCCTATCAAGCACAAGCTGTCACACGGGTGATTCTGAAATCTATTGAGTCAATAGTCTATCAGGTCAAAGGTGCACCCCACACCTGCGTTAAAGCTTCAATGGCTATTGAGCGACGGAGGCAGAAACAGTACAAACATGCCAACATTGACGAGTGATAACAGCGTGGCTATAGTTTCACTGCTCAACAACTTAAAAACAAACATGCATTAGCCATTATGTAAGAACAACTTACAGAAATTTTTCTAAGAAAAACAAAAGACACCTCTGTATTTTAAAGGGACACTAAAGCCAACTATTAGGTTGACGTTGATTGTTGAATTGGCGGTCCAGAAACATCATAGTGTTACTTTCGTGTCAAGGAAGGGCCTATTTTGAAATAAAATCACGTTTTAGCGCTCTGCGTTGGGTTAGGGCATTTCAAATTACCAGCGTCAAGAAGTGGACCGACCGGACTGTCTCATGTCACTGTTCGTTGCCCGGCTTTACTGCGCTAGTAGCAGCAGACTGAAAGCAACGGGAGCCACAGCAGCAACAACAGCCATTGATCAATTTCCCGCCATTGCATTTGAGATTGCAGACGCTTTTGTTTCAACTGCGCCCCGCTAGTAACACGACCTGTCTCGTGTAACTACTCGCGCCATTCCCCATAGTAACGTCCGGCGGTTCTTTTTTCCATTAATCAAACAGAAACAAACAAGCAGCATTTTATTGCGTCTCTTGATGCATGGAAGGTTCTTTAATTAGTGCAGTTAAATTCGACTGGTTCGATACAGCTGAAGCAATCAGACATGCATTTACCATCACTGCCCCCACCTGCATCTCGCTCTTACTGTCGATCCGTTTGGAGCAGGAGTCTGCAGGCCTCGTCATGGCAACGCTTACGCCGCCTTCATCAGGCAGTCTGCTTTCTCGTGTTGATGCTGCGGCACTCTTTGACGATGCCTGCGAACAGCGAGGGCCACTAATTTTTGTGAGTCACATTCTGCAAGATGCCTAGTATCACATCTTCATACTTCTCAGTATGTTTGGCAGTTTGCCTTGGCTTTTCCAGCGGTCCAATGATGAATCTAACGATGAAATTTACAATGTTTTTCGATCACCTTTAACACACACAATTGTGGACAAGCTGCCATTTCACTTGAGCTGTGACAGATGCGCACACTTTCATGATGCAGACATGCACAACCTTTGCACCTTTCCTAAGAAACTGATATGATATATGGACCTGGTGTTCGTTATAATGCAGCAGTTACCCTTTTCAGAGAACAGAAAACTCGGGAAGCTAGTTAAAGTGTAAGATTATTGCCCTTGTAAAAGGCATCTCAAGTGCTTTTCCAAAATGCGCAATATGAATGAAGCCGCAGAGTCATGATACAGTGCCATGAATTCCCTTACAATTTAGGTCGATACAGGGTACGACTGGCCAGTGCTTAATTGCATGATTGCCAAACTGCGATACTGTTATCTTGTGAAACTATGTTCTTACAGGGACAATGCCCAAAAGGGAGCACATAACAGAGCAAATGTTCAGCCGGTGTTACACTCTCGCAACTCAAGAAAGCGAAAGATACTCTGCACTCTGGTGAGATTAAACGAGCTGCATTCAGCAGCAGCAGCAAGCACTGAATCTGCATAAACAGCACATGAGGCACAGTGAACCTTTTGATGAGCAAGATCGGCTGTGGCAAGTGAACCAGCTAAGGCGGTTTGGCTACCCGGCGGTTGTAGAGTAGTACGTTGTTTCAGTATCAGTATGCGAAGCAGCACGTGTATTACAGATGTGATATGCTGTCACATTAGCCGATGGAAAATCTTCACCGGCCACCAGATGCCACAACACTTTAGCTTTAGTCGGTTCACTCCCGAAACACAATCAATTACGTGTTAACAGTGGTTGGCCGTGTCAGAAGATGAATAAATTTTTTTTTCGAGCTTCATTTTCTTCTTCTTCACCCCTTCTCGTGCCAGTCATCTATCTCCTTTCTCTTGTTTCGGACATAGTCACCACGCTGTTTCGTCTAGCCTGCGACGCCACCACCTTGCCTGTCGTCGTTCGGCTTCCCGCTTCCGCAGTTCATGATCCCTTTGACTTCAGAGTCGCGCTCATTCAGTCGCAGCAGACCGAGCCGTGCTTCTTTGACTGTAGCATGCTTGCACCGTAACTCGCTTGAGTGCACCGTCTTTATCAATCATCGCCAGCAACATAAATGCCACAGAAACTGCACCTACAGGGGGAGCACGCCAGGAGCATAGATAAATGTGGTGGTGTGCGTCTTCTGCATGCGTTAAAGGGACACTAAACAGCGGAACGATTTTTTGCGTATTAGTAAAGTACAACATCACAATCCAAAACACCTTTCTTAACACGCCGTGACGCTTGGTAAGTGAGAAAATGTGCAAAAAAAAAAAAATTGCGGGTGGAGACACCACCATGAGAGCCCTGCACCAAGCACCGTCACATACTAAAGTTTGAAGGCATGTTCTGGGTCCAGCATAGCTTATACTCGATAAATATGAGGTACATTGTTATCTGTGTGGATGCCATGGACATAATATACGAAGTTTTGGAAGGCTTCATTGAGGCAATGTGACAAAAAATACAAAGAAATCAATTATATTGTACTAATCTTAGCTATGCTTTTTTAATGGAGTGCTTACACGCTGACGTCACACTTTTAATCCACTTTCATGCACGGAATTTTTCTTGATATTCAGACTTTGTCGGCAATGAAAACTTGGTAGTTTTCAAGCTGAGTAACAGCCTGTTACATTAACTGTATGAAGCAGCCAAAATAAAATGAATACGGTACCCGCCTTTCTGCCCTCTGGAAAAACTCTCGTGGTGGCACCTCCCCCCCCCCCCCCCCCCACCAGCTGCTAAAAATATTACACCATCTCCCTGAAGGAAACCATGGGGCGATGCAGCTATAGCATCGCTGGGAGTTCCAACGATGCATTTAACGGCCGTGTTTACAGGTGCGTAGTGTTTTGCGTGTTACCATTGCGGTGAACCTTGCGTGTATTACGTTGCTAACTTGGTTAGTTACCACGCATCGCGTGACCGGTAGGTGTTCTGCGTGACCGTTGTGTACAAACAGCGTAGTTGTTGAGCCACTCGTCTTGCCGTCGTCATCGCGCTCTGGATGTTTCCAATGCACGCGAGGTTGTTGTTAAACCAAAGTCTGTCACACACCTTGCAACTGTGTCCGAAGCTGCGGTCCAGGGAGTCGCGCTTGAGTCGAGCGTCTGCCTGTGCGCGCTGCCTGGTTCGAGACGCCGCTTTCGCGACGCGATCCCGCTCGCGTACAGCATCGAGGGCAGCCTCTCGACGCCGCCGCTTCAGAGCTGCTTCACGCGCTCGAAAATCGGGATCCGTAGCTCGACGTTGTCGTTTCCAAGCTGCTTGCCGCGCTCGAACCTCATCGGGATCCGCCGCTCGACGTTGACGTTTTACAGCCGCTTCGCGCTGACGAAGCTCGGGATCCGCCGCCCGACGCTGACGTTGTGAAGCAGCGAGGCGCTGACGAAGCTCCGGATCCGCCGCTCGCTTCAGGCGTTTACGCTCGGCGTCGCGAGCCCTCCTATTCGCAGCAGCAGAAGCCTCGTCATAGTCCCGCGTGGATGCAGCGCTGCTGTCCGAGGGTGGGTTGATGCGTGCTTGCGTCAACCCACTCGCTGATGGAGCTGTTGCCACTGTCGCTTTCATCACACTTCACCACCATCAACTTCTTTGATCGGAGAAGGAGCAGATACCACAGAACAACTATAATCCGACGCAAAGCGCGCGCGCGCCCTGCGCTCGCTACCCGCTAAGGTGTTCTGTGCTAGCTCCATGGCAGCAGCTGTTGAAGACTACGAAGAGAGAGGGAGAAGAGAATCGCGCATGCGCAGTATGAGCGTAGACAGACGCCGGACGCGGCGCGCTCTCTCTACCCGTTTTATTTTTTATCGGCACATTCATCCGTGTTTATGGGTAAATCGGCACTGCGCCGTATCCCTAATGGGCTGCAGAATTTGGCGGCTTCTCATTCTTCTAACCACCACCACCATATGCCACCACGGTACCTCTTTATTGCAGCGACTAGCTTGCTCGATTCCGTGCCGAAGGATTATTCCGCCCGCGATCTCCAACGCCAGCGCAGCTCTCACCGTCTGTACCTGAGGTCTGCCGGAAACCCATTCTCAGTGCCTGGGGCTGTCGCAGAGGTTACTATAGGTGTCCTAGCTGGAATAGGGACCTTCCCTGTTTTTGAATTTGCATAATAAAATGTTTTCATCATCATCCTGACGCCGCTCTCGCCGTGTGGTTCCCTGTCCTCGCCATCTTTCTTATCTCTGACTCGCATGCGACGACGAGTGCTCCGTTTTCTATAGGGAGAGAGTTATCTTTCTCTTCCTGCTATCCTTCTCCTACCCTTTATTCCCTTCCCCAACAAGGCACTGCGCCGGGTCGCTCAAGAGGCAGACAGAGATCAGGTGACTTCTAATTTCCTTTCTTCAAGAACTACTACTACTACCACCATATTGCATCAGCTGTTAGAGAGAAGGAAGGGAGAGGAGGGTTGCGAGTGCGGAGGCCGGTTTACCCGTGCCACACACGAACAAGAGATATTCCGCATCTAAACAGTTACACCTTCGCCCGCTTAAAGGGACCGTACGTGAGGCTATCCGAAGCGGGGGGGAGGGGGGCACACGCGTTACCCACCTCAGTCAAATCGAAGCAAAGGCAGTCGCACACATTGCAGATGTGCCCGAAGCTACGGTCGACGAATTCGCGCTGGGACCGGGCGTCGGCACCATCGAAGCCAGTCGGATCCGATGAAGCCAGTTGAGCGAGGTGTCCTACACAGGCGTTGGACTCGCGTCTGTCCACAGCTGACGCGTTGGCTCGACGCTGACGTTTGGTTTCGTTGTCGGCGTTGCGTACGGCGGAGTTTAATTGTTGCCGACGCTGCCGTCCGGCATGTCAAGGTCGCGTTTCATCTGTAGCAGTTTCCCGCCGACGTAGTCGTTTGCGCTGGGCTTCCCTAGCTCGGGGTACGCTTGCCGACGTCTACGTTGCGCTTCGGCGCGTCGAGCCTTTCGCTGCTCCGCGATCTTTACAGGCGTTAAGGTATTACTGCAACTGGCACCGACATAGATGTTGGAACTCATCACGCCAGTGCAGTGACTGAACGTGTGTACGACCAAACCCAAGGTTTCTGGAGGGAAATGTGGGGAGAGGAAGGTTGGCTCATGCCAGACGATATAGCCGCGGCTGCCTGCGTCATCCCATCCCGGGCCGTCTGCAGGCAGGGCCGGCTACCCTTCCCAGCGAGCTCCACAACTGTGAACCTGGCGGGACTTTACTTGGCGGCAGAGCTGCTGGCTGAGAACGTCCCTGCTGAGCAGGTTGCAGTCCTGTGCAAGGCAGCCCTGCAGACACTAGCCAACCACCGCCGCGCCAGGCTCACGGAGAACCTTATGGCATTCAAGTACCGGGCCCTTGCGGCAACCGGGACGTCCATCTTCTTCTACTGGCTACCCTCTCATGTGCGCAAAGCTGGTAACGAGCAGGCAGACACGCTGACCAAGGCAGCACACCAATCGGGCACCCACATCACCCAGGCCATGGCAGCTAGAGAATTCACGCAGGCTTGCATCAAGAAGCTCCTCGCCTCGGTCCACTCGGGACAGAGGGTGGCCAATAGCCAGAAACCCAAGCATCTCCCCGAGGCAGGCCTTACCAGGAGGGAACGAGCTGACCTGCTGCAACTGCGGAACGGACGCGTGTGGACGGTGGCTCGCCGCTATTTTAAGGAACGCTGCGCCTCTCCAGCCTGCAGCTGCTGCAGCAACCCCAAAACCTTCAAGCACCTCCTCTGTGCTTGCCCTGCCTAGGCACAGGAACGCTCGAAGGTCACTCTGGCCTACCGGAGACATGGCCTTTCTGCCATCACCCTGGAGCACCAGCTCTTCACCATCTCATCCCTACCTACCAGCGCTCCGGAGCCTAGCAGAGTTCCCGGACGAGGGGGGAATCATGGCCTACCGCTGAGGGACCCTTGCCACCCCTATCCTTGCTGCTGGACTGCTGTTCGTGCTGAAGACGTCTACGCCACAGCTCACCTAACCTTTTTCTCTTTTATCCATTTTCTCCCATTCCCCCTCCCACAGACACTGCGCTGTGCTTCTAACTGGGCTGCAGAAATTAGGCACCTTCTTCTTCTAACCACTACTACCACCATCACAGTGCTCACGCCTTCCCACCTCCTCACGCCACTCACGTAAGAGGGGAGAATTGGCGCATGCACAGTTAAGTTGGTCACGCCGCACGCACACTGTATTGAACTCCACCATAAGCTGCTTTGCATCTGAATGTCCTGGTGCAGCCTTTGCGAGCAGGCAAGTGGGCCAAATTTTACACCCCTGTCGACGACTGTGCACTCACGTCCATCATTGCTAGATTTTCACCGCTAATAGAGCTTTATCATTCTATACACACATAATTTACGAATCAGCAATGCACTTATATGCCACACTGATATAGTACCACAACAGTAGTGCAAAGCTGTCGGAAGTTAACAGATCAAACGAGACATAACCCTTCACTCAAACCATGCAGGTTTGTAGCTAGTGAGAAGTTGAGGCGGTTCTTACACCCTCAAAAATTTCTTTCATGCTTTAACTTTTTCGGGTGATATTAAGTATACACACGCCTTGACATTGACCACCAGTTGCCAAAGCTTGCCGTTCTACAAATAAACACCAACCTCCCCCCACAAATTCCTTGGCACAGTCCCGACTCAACCCTTCATAATGTTACCATTATTTGATGCAGCGTTGTTTTGAATGAGCCAGTTTGGCAAAGCAAAATTATCTTATAATCATCATAATATTTACACACACATTTATTGAGTAAAAGAGAAAGCGTCTCTCATAATCATATGGTAGTTTTGGGACGTTAAACCCCACATGTCATGAGTAAAAGAGAAAACTCCTTCACGTGAACACGTGATGTGTTTTCAACATTTCTAGCATTGTCACACATTAATCTTTGATAAATTGCATAATGACCTCATCTAAAGTTATCATGATAGCGTGAACAGCCTTGCCAATTTGTTCCTTTGCATGTGAGTGCTGAACACGCATTACAGATTCATTCCTGCACAAATGAACGTGTAAGAAATTGATACAATTAGTGTTGGGGCATCAACACTTAATTAGCATCTCTTTATGTTATGCACGAATTAGATTCTTTTAATTTATTCTTACTTTCTGCGTGGTTGAGCTGATTCAAAGGAAAAGGACCCCTTGTTTGGGACGCAAATGGATTTGACCACTGACTTCGCCAATTGCATGCTAACATGCTTGACACAGCCAATTTCTACAACATGCTGCCCACAGAGCTACAACAAGCCGCCTACTGTCTCTTAATGTGCGGAAAAAATGTGTCAGCTTGCCTTATCAAGTGTTGTGTGTCAAGTTGTATAATGACTCATGTGGGTACAGCAGTCCTCAAACATTCAATTTTCTAGATACCTGTCTTTGCTGCTCTCTTCCTGCAGTACTTTCTATTTTTGTCATGGTGGCAGAATGTGTTCTGTATCTATGTAACCTTCAATTTACTACAAAAGGTGCACATAACTGCATTGCTCAATATACTTGATGAAAGTATAAAAAATAAAACTGAGCAAGAAAATAAGCGTTCAGAAGAATGCACTTATCAAAGCGATAGCTCAATTTTTTAAGAGCGTTAAAATCTGTACAGTTGCCAGTGCTCGTCATACACACATAGAAATCTTTGTAGCACTTTTATGGGTTCAGCATGTCTTTACTTCGACTCAAAATTTTTTATATGGCTGAAATCCCCTGCATTTTCACGCCTTTCAGATGCATGCTCCGCTTCCAAATTACAAATCTGCATGCGCCGGCGCAAAAGAAAGTGACACCTTTACCGCGCATGTCCTGTACCCTCGAATCGCAGTGCTTAGCACATAGCACGGCCCAGTTTTCCTTATTTTTTAGACAAACCATTCCTCTCAAGGCACACTAACAGTGTGCAGGCTCCACTACTGCAAAAATTCAGAAAGTGTGTCGCACGAGCACTCCGCAATTCCCGTTCGTAAAGAACCGCTCACGCTGCGAATCCTAATAATTCAGCCACATACAAGAGAAATCTGCCACCGGCACTGCATTGCAGATCAAGATCCTGGTGCTACAATCAGGTCTACATGTGCTTACCATCCACCATCCTCACTGTATTGTTTGAGCTATATGCTGCATGTTTTCTAAGATTTCTCTTATTCTAGAATTCAGTACCTGTGCATGAACTGTCATGATTTGCCAAGATCTTACAATGAAGTACCTGACACTTGCAACACTTTTAATGACAATGTCAGCGAGAAGTACAGAGTAGTACTCCTTTTTCATGTGGGGATGTTACACAGATGAGAAAGCTGGCAAAAAACATGAGCATGCTCTGGTATATTGAGGACTGTGCCACAAAGTTAAGACACTTTCAACTGCACAGACCAACCACTTGAAAATATTTAATGAGCTGAAAGCAGTGCTTCACTACTCCCGACAACACAATCGAGGCATCTGCTGTAGGGGGCGTCACCTTCGATACACCAATGCAAGGTTGGGTGTCCCGAGGCTGACTACACAGTACAACGAATGAAGAATGAATGAAGGCAAAGTACTTCATGCTGCTTCACGTCACTGATATACAATATCATAAGCGCTCGCAACACTCTGGTACAATGTTCTTTCTCAATACCTGTTATGGCACATATGATGCTGACATTGAGGTGTAGCCCTGAATGGGAACGTCCAGCATCTCTGCTGGCCGGAAGGCCAGCACGTGAGCGCGGTGATGCTGTAACTGTTGAAGAAGGACGACTTGCGGACGCTGCACACGACTGGTTTAAAATTGAGAAGCCGCATTTTGTCACTTAACAAAGCCGAGTTCTCACCAGCGACATAACGCTCGCACAAGAGGCACTTTGTTCCTAGCTCCTCGATGTAAGTGGGGATGTAGTCCTGCATTGAGGTCTAGTTTGAACACGCCTTTGAACACAAGGGGCACTTGAGCGCCCACGTACACACTCCTACATAGTTGGTGAGGTCGAAACTCCGGCGAACAGTAGCTGCAGCTGTAGACTGTTCTCGTTGACCCTGCTGCACCAAAGGGAGGGCTTTACTCTTTGCCAAGGAGGGTGCCAGTTCCCAGAAGCACTGCGCGCTCACCTCTGCGACACTGTTGCGCCCCTTGAAGGTTGGCACCCGTCAACTCCGCAAGGACTGGCACCACATGCCAGTGAAACATAAGTATAAATTTATTACCTCGCATTTATTTACCTTGCAACAGTGACCAAAGCTCTGACAACAGCTGACCAGAGATGCGCTCGAAACGGGCTCGCCGAGCGCGCGCCGCCGCTTGCCTGGTGCGATCGCGAGCGCGGGCGGCAGCGAGATCAGCCTGCCGTTGTCGCCGCTTGTACTCGGCCTCGCGCTGCCTCACTCGAGGATCGGCGACTCGCCGTCGACGTTTCTCCGCCGCATCTTGGGCACACATTTCCGGATTTTGAGCTCGGCGTTGGCGTCTCGCAGCGGCTTCCCGAGCACGAAGTTCGCTATCGGCGGCTCGCTTCGCTCGCTTGCGTGCGGCTTCACGCGCTCTTCGCCTCGCAGCTTTGTCTTCCACTTCTTTTCCTCCGGTTGGTGATGACTTTAAAGCTACTGGAGTGACGTCGCCTCCAGCGAGAGGTGTGATGCTCGGGTTGCATTGCGCAACACTTCTTGCTTGGGACACCGAGGCCGTAGGACAACATTCGCCTTCGTCGGCTTTTGCCATCACCTGAAGAGGCGCCCAGCCACAGAACACCAACCGATTCGCATCTCAACTTCGCATCCCGCGATGCGAGCGCCCCAGAGAACACCTGCTCCACCTCCTCTCCACTCACTTTGCCGCTACTCCGCCCGCACCACCTGCTCGATTCGCTCGCAGGATTTCAAGCTGGACGGTTGTGCCCTCGCGATCTCCGACTTCAGCGTAGCTCCCGCCGACTGGTTCGCCCTCCGCGGTCTCCTGATGCCGTGTAGCTCTCGCATTGTGGCACCCCGCCCTTGGACTGCTTCGACCGGATCCCCACTTTCCTATCTCCTTCTTTTTCCTCTCGTTGGCTGTCTTCTTCTGCTTCTACTTTCCTTCTATTCTTTTTATCCCTCCTTCCCCCCACCCCTATAAGGCACTGCGCCGTGTCGCCTGAAGGCAGACAGAAATTAGGTGCCTTTTTCCTCTTCATTGTAACCACTACCACCACCACCACCACCTGCTCCGGTTTCTATAGGAGTGCGGACACCGATACGCACACGGATACGCATGACATGACCACAGAGGAAGACATGCACCGACTAAGAAATGCATTCGCATTAAAAAAAAAAGTTAACCACTGGCTCCAGTGCCCCACACCACCAGTAGATTCTAGCACGCGACTCGGCCCTGAAGTTTAATACCGCGTCTGCCGGGGTGAAAAAAAAAAAAAAAAACGCTAGCATTCAAAATAAACTAGAGGGGACTCTGGCGCTGCGATCGTTCAGCGACCATGGGAATGATGGGCAGTACACACACATGACCTACTACACTCCTGACCTGCCCAGAGAGCACCTCTTCCAGCGCCCACGTTCTAGTTCATACCTTCTGCCGCTAGGGCCGTCACCTACGAGCGGCGTGGCGCTAGGCAGCACCTGTTCGCTGACGTCACCTTCACTCTTTGTAGTCAAATTTTAACCAACAAAGCACTCGTAGTGCGAATTTATGATCCACAATTTAGAAATATCCAGAAATAATAATACTAAAAGACATTCAGAATTTTTTTTGCAATAAAATGCACGCGACAACGCATAGGCTGTCCAAAATCATGTAAATCCACGGGTTTCCACGTTTGTCAACCAGTGTGCTATAAATTCTTAAGCGCACTGAACAGCTTACTTGACCAGCAATGTATGGGAAGAAATAGTCACATATATGCCGACAGTTCACCACAGAAAGCAGGCATTCTTATACCAGCGCCTACAAAACAACCGTAAAGAAGCAGACGAACAGGTTATAGGTAGCGCCACCTACGGCGAGCGATTGAACGAGAGCGGGGACACGCGCTCCCATAGGAACCCCGCTATCTGAACAGGTCAGGAGTGTAGTAGGTCATGTACACACATTTGCTAGAGTGCCTAGAATATTCTCCTAGTGTCATGAACAGGCGCCTTCCCCATCGGCGACTGGGAAATTGATTTGGATTCAGCGTTAGGGGGCGCTACTTGCAACTGGCGCGTCAGTTTGCGTGCCGGCCGGGCCTTTCAACGTTGTGTCGGGTGGCGACTTGTCTGTGTGGTGAAGCGTGTTCTCGCTACGTTTCGAATATGTGCCGTGAATTCTCGTGCAGCGATTGTGCGTGACTATGCCTGAAAAAAAAAAAAAGGAAGAACGTGCTTTGTGCAAAGGCGGGTACAAGTCTTTCAAGGAGAAGGTGTCTCTGTTCAGGGCTCCGGCAGACCCTGTTCGTCTTCAAGAATGGGCGCGAAACATCAAAAGAGGTGACAAAGTTCTAGACGAAACTTGTGTAGTGTGTTCTCGTCATTTTGATGATCGCTACATCCAAAGAACTTTCAAGCATGTCATCAACGGCGAGGACGTCGAATTCGACCGTCAACGACCATCGCTAACGCCGGACACCGTTCCTACCGCTTTCCCGGATGGCCCCGCTTACCTGACTAAACCAGTGCCTCGAAAAAGAAAAGAAAGGAATATTGCTGACTGCACAGCTCCGCCTGCTAAGCGTAAAGCGCCGAATGAACCCACGACTTCCCAGGCCTGTGACGATGCTGCCGCTGGCGAGGAAAGAGCACAGGCGCCGCACCCGTTTCACAGCATAACGCCGCCGTCGGCATTTTGCAGCAAAATTTGCTTGCCCAGTAACCCAGAAGCATTGTGCTTCGCATGGCACTACAATACAGTGCCGGGTGACGTGTGCGTGTTGAAACACGTAGTGTTTTCGTCAAGCAAGGAAGTAGGTGCTGCAGATGGGTACCTTTGCAGTACTTACTGCCGCGGCATAAATGTGGAAGAGCACTATGTCAGCACCGAAACTGACGCACTCGCTTCGCTGAAAAGGGCCGACGATCTGCTTCTTTGTTGCGGCTGCGAAATTGAGCCTGCCGCTGGCACTAAGTGCGTCCGTTTCGGAAGCGGATGTTTTTCGCCCAAGTGCTTGGTTACTACGCAGGATGGGAAAGCTTGCTTGAGGTGCAAGTACCTGAGGATGGTGGTGGTGAAAACATTTAATAACCATTAAATGGTTACAGAGAGGTGATTGGGTTGGGGCCTTATTGGCCTCCTACCCTCACAGCACTAGGTGAAACCCCTATTCCAGGGCTCCATTGGCAAGCAACGCCGCCCGCGCACGTTGAACCAGAGCCTCTTGGGCCTTCAGGTCTTGACAGCCGAGCAGGGCCGCCTCCCAGTCCTCTCTCGTGGGATTGGGGTTGGGGGGGATAGATGGATTAGACTGGCACGCCCAGACGATGTGAAAGGTGTCAGCCACCTCACCACAGAACTGGCACGTGCCATCAAAGGATGAATTGAAATGTTTTAGCACCGCCGGGCACAGTACAGTATTGGTAAACAGTTTTAAAAGGAGGCGCTCGTCAGCGCGATGCAGTCCCTTACAAGGGTCTGGATAGCGCCGGTGCTCCTCCTTGTAGTAATTGGTAATATCTTTGAATGAAAGGGCCGAATTGTCTGATTGCGAGTAGGCTTCCAAAGACAGGGAGATAGCCCGGGAAGAGAGTGCGCGGGCGGCCTGATCGGCCTGTTCGTTACCCCTGAGTCCTTGGTGACCGGGTGCCCAAACCAGATTTCGCGGAGTTGGATTAACGTATCGGCAGCTAGGTTCCAGTATGCGCTGAGCAAGCGGTGAAGCCCACCCTAGCTTATAGTTCCGACAGGCCCCTCGTGAGTCGGTGATGATATGTTTAGAAGAGGGATAGGTGAGAGCCAGAGCGATGGCAACCTCCTCCGCGTGTGTTGCGCTGTAGGCTTTGAAAGTGAGCCCGTTTACGGTGTTTGCGTTGTGTATGACTGCGGCAGTATACCACCCCCCATGGTGCGGGCCGGCAACGTCCACGTAGCACACGTGTTCCTCTTGACCAAAGTGTCGCTGCAACGCTTCCGCGCGCGCCTGGCGGCGACCACTGTGGTTTTCTTTGGACATGTTGCGGGGAAGGGGTCGGACCCGGAGGGCGCGTCTCCAAGGTTCTGGCACTCTCACCCTTTCCTCAATATAGTAATCGTGTTTGATGTGTATTCGGTCTAAGAGGCGGCGACCGGAATGGGTCTGTGCAAGGCGCGTGTATTGGTTAACGAGGTGGGCTTCTCGAAGTTCCCGGTAGGTATTCACCACGCCTAGGGCCAGAAGTCTCTGGTTGGACGTGGTGATAGGGAGGTCGAGAGCCCGCTTGATAACTTTACGGTGGATGACCTCGAGTTGATCATCCTCGTGTTTGCGTAGGTGCAAGTAGGGAGTCGAGTAGAGTATTCTACTCGTTACGAAAGCATGGGCAAGCCGCATTGCATCCCTGCTTCGTAATCCGCCCCGCTTGTTGGAGACCCGGCGGACCATACGGCCCACCTGGTCTCCCACCGTGCGAAGTTTGGCTATTGTGGTGTCGGCCTTGCGTTGGTGGTGTATGAAGAGGCCAAGGACGCGGATCTCCTTGGCCTCACGGATCGGTCCCGAGGGAAGACTGATATGGAGCTGAGTTGTGTCCTGAGGGGAGGGACGTACGTGCACAAATTCTGACTTAGCCGGGGCACACTGGAGTCCGCAGTAGGTTGCGTAGTCGTCGACTACAGTCGCTGCTGCTTGCAGGCATGACTCCATGTGACCCAGGTTACCTTGCGTGGCCCAGATCGTGATATCATCCGCGTAAAGAGCGTGATGTATCCCTGGTAAAGAAGCCAATTTGGGGGAAGATGAAGCATGGCTATATTAAATAGGAGAGGAGAGAGGACCGCGCCTTGAGGAGTTCCCCTCGAGCCGATGACGTAAGGCCCATGTTCCTCATCTTGTATGCGTATGTAGGCTCGACGGTCTGTAAGAAACTGTCTAACATAATTGAATGTTTTATAACCACAGTTGGTCTGACTGAGGTGGTCAAGGATTACCTCATGCTTCACGTTGTCGAATGCTCCTTTAAGATCCAAGGCCAGGACTACCTTGTCATTGTGGGGGCATTCAACAGGATCTAATATGTCATGGTGGAGCTGTAGAAGTATATCCTGGGCTGACTTCTGAGGGCGGAATCCAAACATGGTGTCCGCAAAAGTGTGCTGTGTTTCTAGAAACTCGGAGAGTCTGTCGCGCACCATCGTTTCCATCAGCTTGCCGACACAAGACGTGAGGGAGATGGGGCGAAGGTTCTCCACGTCAATAGGTTTACCTGCCTTCGGGATGAAGGTCACGAGAGCTGATTTCCATTCAAGAGGGAGAGGAGTTTCTCCGTCCCAAATGCTATTGATGTATTTGAGGAGCGTGGCGTAGGCTGCGTCGGGAAGATTGGCCAACAGTTTGACCGTAACCTGGTCACGCCCTGGTGCAGTGCCACGCTTCATCTTGCGTAAGGCCGCCTGGAGGTCGTGGAGCTGGAACGGGGTGTCCAACTGCGTGTTCTTTTTGCCTGCGTAGGAGTATGCGGCCGTCCGGGGGTCCTTGGTGGTGCACAGGTATCGGTCCCTGAGCGTGTTTGCCAGCTGTGTTGTCGTTCCTGTAAAGTTGTGCATGACCTTATGTAAGTGACGTTGAGTTTCCGTGCGTGTTTGTGTTGGATCGATGAGAGCGCGAAACAGGCGCCACGTGTTGCGACCAGACATCTGGCGTGCAGCCGTGTTGCACCTGTCCACCCAGTTAGTGTCGGCTAGCTGAGCAGCATATTCCGCAGCTTGCTCCGTGAGTTCTAGGATGCGTTTCTTGAGGCGTCTGTTATGTTTCTGTTTTTTCCATCGTTTGGTGAGGCTGCGGCGGGCCTGCCAAAGATGGAGGAGGTGGTTGTCTACGTCCGTTTGAGTTTCCGTGAGCTGTATCAGCTGTTCGTGTTGTTTCAGTGTAGACGTCAGTGATTTAGACCAGGTGTCGTATCCCGACTGGAGAGGGTCTACAATAGGTAGAGTGGTGCGGAAAGTTGTCCAGTCTGGGATACGAGCTTGTGTAAGTGGGCGTTTTAAGGGACGCATGTACACAGTTGTGTTTAATACACAATGATCACTACCGAGAGTGTCCTGTGTGTTCAGCCAGTCGGCATGGCGTATGTTGCGTGTAATTGTGAGGTCCGGGCAAGTATCTCGTTGAA